ATTTCAATAGTTGAGATCATGAGTCAATTAAAGCTGGAACATCATAGAAAACCTGGAAGCACCGGACGGCCGTTTCGTCTTGTTGTGTGACACCTCAGTAGTGCACACCCACGACCATGCCTCGTGAGATTCGAACCCAGGACCAGTCAGTTTCACGCGCGAGCGCTTAATCACTAGACAACTGAGTTGGTCGGTATCCAACGGTGTTAATCTTTGACTTCAACCAATCCACGAAATTGAGCGACAAATCCACCATTATCATCAGTGAGTTACTATCTAACAACTGACCCACTTGTTCATAAAAAGATGCTCAACTAATCTCAAGTATTTCACTGTTAAAATAAAGAGTCAGTCAACAGAAAAAAGTTGTTTCCCTTTGCTATTTGATACACCCGATAATTTTGTTCTTATTTAAATAACCCGATTTATTTTAACACTATATAAAATCTGAATTGCTAATCAACTTGTTGTTTATATTTTACGATAATTACATATACATTTTTGTACACATGCACATAATTCAGGGAGTAAGATCTAGAAATGGATATTTTATGACAAACTATCGGTTTTCTTAAATTGGTTAGTTCATTTCATTTGAATTTTAATTAGTAACAGGTTGAATATTTGTATATTTGAAGATTGTATTTTAATCAGTAGTTTATATTAGCATATCTGGGTAGCATCATTGATGAACATGATGGATTTATGAAGGTGTGAAGGCGCGGATCGGCAAATCAAATACAGCATATTTACAATTGAAGAACATCTGGAAATCAAAACGATTGTCAAAAAACACCAAAGTCAGAATTTTCAATACAAATGTCAAGACAGTTCAATTGTATGGGGCGGAAACCTGAAAAACTATGAAATCCATCATTCAGAGGTGTTTGTTAACAGTTGTCTACGCAAAACAATACTTCGGATCTGTTGGCCGGACAATATCAGCAACAACCTACTATGGGAGAGAACAAACCAGATCCCAGTGGAGGAAGAAGAGCTGGAAGTGGATAGGAAATACATTGAGGAAAGCACCCATCTGTGTCACAAGGCAAGTCCTCACTCGGAATCCTCAAGGCCAAAGGAGAAGAGGGAGACCAAAGAATAAATTACTTCGAGAAATGGAGACAGATATGAGAAGAATGCACAACAATTGGATATAACTAGAAAGGAAGACCGGCGACAGAGTAGGTTGGAGAATACTGATCGGTGGCCTATGCTCCATTTGGAGTAACAGGCGTAAGTAAGCAACCACTGTCTTAGATATGGTAAGGTATATGAAATATCCATTGAGTTTCGCACAACTTAATGAGTTAATAAAACGATGCAATATATATTAACGTTAAATAGGTTAAACACTATCGACTACAGTAAACATAAGTTCACTATTGGATGTAAGCCATGCATGATATAAGTTTAGAAAATGATATTTGTTATATTGTACTTCCATTAGTTGAAGTTAGACATTAACACCGTTGGATGCTGGCTCAGTAGTCTAGTGGCTAAGTGCTCGCGCGCGAAACCAGTAGGTCCTGGGTTCGATTCTCGCAGGGGGCGAGGTCGTGGATGCGCACTGTTGAGGAGTCCCACAGTAGGACAAAACGGCCGTCCAGTGCTTCCAGGTTTTCCATGGTGGTCTAGCTTCAACTGACTCATGATCTTAACCATTTAAATTACTACAATCTCCACAAAACCCATCTGACATAAATATTGGTACAAAGGGGCACCGAATGCATATGTGCCACAAATGTCATTGATTTGCATATGACTGTGATACTGCCGGGGTGCCCAAACCGAAGGTAGTTTTTTAGGAAGCCATCGATCGAAAGGTCTGGTCCACAAGGTAGTAGAGCAACGTTAGGAGATGCAGTCCCATGATAGCCGGTAACCAACAATTTATTCCATCAGGATTTTGAAGCCCATGGGCACCACTGATTTGGAATCAGGGCTTCCCAACGGCGAGACTACAATTTATGGACGAACCAATCAGGTATAAGATAACAGGTCTTGGATTTTGGCGCGAAATCCACTCATCCAATTGGCTAGATATTTTTGGCATTATAGCTGATAACATTTCGGAATGAAAACCATAAATTTAATTCCTAACCCTTAACCATCAACTGTAAATCATAATTCTAATTCCTCACACAGATTTCTAACCCTCGTTTAGTCACAGTTAATAACTGAATCCTCTTAACTTCAGTTTAGCTTCGCTCAAAGGTCGTCCTTAAATTATAGTCTCACTATTTCCAACTCACCTAGGTGGATATTCTATATCCACCAACCCGGTTAAAGCGCCGGACATTCGCTTTCCGTCCTCTCAATTTCGTAAGTAACATCCGTGGAGCGAGAAGCCAGTGAGTAGGATTCCATGGCAATGACTGTATGTACGTGGCCATGTGAGGGCAATTGGAGAGGGAGGCATAAATCTCACCACACACGGCCGTACCAGGGCATTCATAAGTCAATATACGCTAGAACACCACTAAGAACCTGGACGACCGATTAGTCTTAGTATGGGGACTCCTCAACAGTGAGTGCCCACGATCCCGCACGTGGGACTTGAACCAGAACCTTTGGTCTGGCGCGCGAACGCCCAACCTCTAGACCCTTGAGCCGGCATCCAACAGTGTAGAGTCCAATCCATGTCGGGTAGAGACAGGTATCTATCTAACAAGAGATGAACGGTTGCGCAAGATCATGGAGCAACGGAAGTTAGACATTAGAATAGCGGAGGATGAGTTTACCTTCGGAATGATAAATACATTAGTTATCAGCTATTGGAAAACTGGATTCTACTCAATTGTCGATTCGTCTAATGACCAACCTAAAACTGTTAACTTATATTGACAAAAATAACCAAATATGACGACAGAAAAATACATCAGAAATAGACTTTTCATAAGTTATAATCACTTAATAAAGTTGGTGAACAGAAAAGCATTCTGAAGGAAATTCGACAAGATAATTGTTCTGACTAGCATAACCAAGGAAAAATTCATCATTTGTGATTCCAACAATTTGTATAGGTTTTCACATTCAGTAATAAGCAATACTATGTAATCCATAATGATGAACCCAATGATCAGAATAGGCATAAATATTTTTATCGAGATGACATTGTAGTCTGAATAGGCAAAAGAAAACAATCCACTTGATATGTAGCAGTGAAAGTAAAATAACATTAGATACTGAGCATGGACAAACAGACACATCCTGATGACTTAAATATATGATTGACTTCTACTACCGTCTCACTGATTACGACGGCATATAACTGTGTTAAATAAAGTAGTATCTAGTGTTAATCTGGTTCTCTATTCTGGGTCGTGAATCATGGATCTGATATGACATGATTGGTTTCATTATCTCAGCACACATGAAAGAAAAGTATTTTGAACCATCCGTTATATCATTACTTATATACTGAAGTTGACGATATACTATCGGTGGACATGCAATTCATCAATTAATGAACCGAACTAGGTGACCAAGTATATGATTATACAACGGATATTGAAGCAGATTTGTGATACTATTACTCTGCTGTTTGTAATGAAAATAAAGGTGAAATGATCTAACTAATAGATCATGTACCCTAATTTTTATAAATACTCAGAACAGTACATCCACTATTTAACGAAAAAACAAACAAACAAACAGACAAGTACAATTATTTAACGTACATAGAACATTAAAACGCAAAAAAAACAAGAATCAAGACAAAAAAAGTCTTATGTTAAATCAGTAGAGTAAATAGATATATTTCAGTAGTGAATAACCTGTTAACAACACTTTAAAACCAACATTATCATAGAAACACAAGTAATCTCATATTCACAACTTAACAGGAAAAAAAACAAACAGTGAATGATGATGATAATGATAATGGAGAAAATAAAATAAAGGTTACTTACAATAGAAAGGTTAAACTAAATAACCAGACAGGGCACAAAAACGTCTACATTTACACAGACACATACACACACACATACATACAAATGTAGGTACATTCCATAATCAAATGAATGGAACACAATGTGATAGAAGAGAGATTATATCTGTACAAATAAACTTTTTTTCTCGAAAAAACAAAACAAAACAAACAATTCACACAAAATGATAAACAAAAAAAACCAATGTACATTGAATCAATTAAGTAGTATTATTCAGTAGTAATTATTATTATTATTAAAAAAATGATTATTACTGGGATATTTATATTAACCAGGGCGTGAAATATGTTCTTTTTTTTTTAATTGTCTGTAAACGACAAAATAAAAGACTAAAATAATTATAATAAATATATTCAGAAAACAATTAATTACCTAGGTTTTGTATTCCATGTACATATATTTAAAGGGTGGGAGAAAGAAAAAGAGAGAGAGAGATAGAGAGAGAATGGACGAAGAGAAACAACTCTACACAGACAGTAACATAGGTATATGTTTGCATACAGCACAATATGAACAATCAAACTGAAGTGAATATAATTTGATGTATAGTTAATTTCAACTTGAATTACATTTCTTGCACAAATACACTTAGTTTTAAGCAAAATATAAGAGTGAGAAAAAAAGATTAAGAAATAATAATGGTACCATTTCGTTTTCCTCGTTTTTTGAAAAGAGTAAAAAGCACAATAGGAAGCCAATTTGTATGAGTAGTAATAGTAGTAGTAGTAATTGTGTAAAAATGTCCATACAAAAACAGTTTTAGACATGAATATGTCCTGAGGGATAAGCAGTTAAAAGTATGTTAGTACACTGGAAGACAATGTTGTAAATGAATAATACGGGTTTATTGTTAATATTGCACGAAATGTTCTTTTTCCAGGAGGGATGGGCAAGAGTAAAGACAAACTTTAAAAGTTTACAGTATAATTGTATTTAAATAGCGTTTATTCAATGAAATAAATGCAATTTGTTACAATGTAAAATGAAGAGAAAGAAATCAATTGGAGATGGGAAATAACGAATTAAACTTGGTATTATAAAGCTTACAGTCCAACTTCTTGAGTAGTAGAAACATATGGTTGGGACAGTGTAGCAGCAGTATTTGAAGCTGAACGTGTATGAGGCGGTTGTGATGAACTAACCAAGGATGTTCTTAGCATAGCATTTGGAGTTATAGGGCGAGTAACTGACTGGATAACTGAAGAGGTAGGTCGATGAGTATTACTAACTGATACTTGCTGTTGTATATTTGGTCGTGGAAATGGTTGGAGAGTCGGAGGTACTGCACCGGGAGGAAATGGACCAATTGGGGCACGCCGACGAGGAAGGGTAGCGCCTAAAGCTTGATTCACATTTCCTGTATACATATTACCAGAAGCCGATACAAGTGGATGATTTGATCCTACAACTTGAGCATTAAAAACAAAAATCAATTTAACAATTAGAAAAACATGAATAAAATAGTAACCAATGTGTATATGATGTTGCCTAGTATTCCAAGCATTTAGTTTTCAATAAGTGACTTTTTCATCGTAATCTATTCAATTTTCATAAGTCTAGACATACAAAGCAAGAGAGAGAGAGTAATATTTGCCCTTATGTTAAGCATACATGTGGATTACAGACCGGTGGATGAACACATTTCAGACCAATGTTTTATGATATACTAATTAAACGATGTACGCACATTCAATTACCACCTTATCTACCGTAAATCTAAACCCTATTTTATCTAATTTGGCACCTGGATAGTATCACTATCTGCTAGAAGTACATAAGTATTTCTAGATACTAATAAATTGATTATTTTAATCCAATAATTAAGTACAAATTAATACGATATGCTTCTGTGCATAATTAACGAAAACTGACAGATTTCAATATTTCAGTTAAAAATTGTTAAGATATTATAAGCTAGTGAATGAGTGGTGGGGTAAAAGATAGCAACAAAGATAAGTTTATTCTTTGATTACAACAATAAAGGATACTTTGTTTTTTTGGCATTACGAAAAAAAAGGTTTACACATTAAAGAAATAACCAACGGTGTATATATATATACATGGTTAGTCAGGGCTAATAACCATTAAGGTGTAAACTGTAGAAAAAATTTTATGCCTATACGAAAATAATAAGAAAAAACTATAAACGAGGGCTGTCATGAAGAAATAAATTGGTTTGATTTGTAAACAGAAGACAAGAAAAAACAAAAACAACATATTATACTTATTAGCCAAAAGAATTATGAATTTAGCTTCTAAGTAAGATGATTATGACGAACTATAGAATGTGTAGGTCATTTATTTTTCGTTATCTTAAATCACTGTGATACATTGCTCACGTGAAGTATAACCATTAAATAAGTGAAGACGAATGTAAGTAAAGAGGACTAGATAAAGACGGTGAATCGATTGATAAATCCCCTACTATTTGTCGATTAAAGTAGCTTAACACGCATAATACACGAATCAGTTACTGATAATCCTGATATGTCAGTCAGTCAGTTAGTTACAACGTAGAACCAGGCACACATGTGCATTGATCCAAGTTGCCGTACCTTATTAGCACAATAAGATGAACACCAAATTCATAGAAGTGGTTAATTCAATGGTGGTATTATATAAAAGAAACATTGCATATCAGGATATAGTACAGGAAGAAAAAATTATTTCGTAGAAAGAAAGATATGAAGCAATTTTAATCTCTTAGTTTAAGGGAAGACAGAAAGTCTATACACCTACGCTAGTGTGATGGATTCTGAGCCATGTCACCAAGAGTCTTCAACCATTGGTTACGATAGTGACGCAAACCCCAATCAAGTACTCTGCATCTACCAACATGGCTCAGACTAGAAGTTAGTAACTTTACGCACTGATGCTACGCTTTGGTTTGGCTTAGAAAAAAGACTTATCTCAGTCAGAGCGGCATATAATTATAGTCAGTGAAGATATTGATTATTATACTACATAGTGTAGGTAGACATAAACATATTAGTGGAACACATAGGATAGCTATAGCCCATGGTTGATGTTAGGTGACATAATCTAAAATTAGTCGCAGCAGTACATGTGTATTCAATCTTCATCTTCTTATAGATAAAGAAATATAACATTCTTCATTTCATACGTTCCTTCAAACTGAATTTTTCAAGTTTGGTTTTCCATTTACACATATTGACAAAATGATTTGTAATTTCTTATGTTAGTATTGAATTTCATGAAGATCTAATCATGAAGCATAAGAAAAAAAAGTGTATATTTTGACAGAACTCTAAAACTTAGACTGAATCAAGTACCTTGAGATAGTTGCTGATTTGATGTTACAGAACCAGTGGTCATGGGATGATAAGAAGGTAATTGTCCGCTTAAATGAGTTCCTACTTCAGAACCGACAACAGCAGCAGAGGATTGATGTTGCTGGAGATGTGAAAAATGATGAGGTTGTACAAGACCTGAGTTTATACTATTACTAATATTTATGTCTGCAACACCAGATGAAAGCCCAGTTGATGTTGAAGGTCCATGAATTATGGAATGTGACTGAACAATTTGTTGTGGCATAATATTTTGAGAAGAACGAACTGTTGGAGGCATATTATTAGGAGGAATGGGTGGTACCAGTTGTTTTGGACAACTATTTCGCAACAGGAAATCAGCGCAATCATAATTTTTAGAACAATGAGCGTAATAGAATGCATTTCTTCCTTCATGATCTGTCACAGTTGGATCACCATTGTACTTTAATAAAGAGAAATAGAATAAAATCAAGTCTGAGTTTAACAAATTCATAAGCGAAAATATGTTAACCAACTACTTATGAAAAGAAATGAAGATAAACTTAGTATAAAGTTAAATAAATTTATAAATACAACACATTCCCAGTGCTAATAAAATAAACTATTCGTTCAATTTTTACATGAACTGGTGAAGTGAACATTTCAAATCCATCTCACAATGCATGTAGTAGTAATATGCAAACCGCTGATGAAACAGTATGGAAGAAGCACAACAATCAGTCACTAAGTATAATAGGTGATACTAGAATTAATGTTTATCGTTCACACAAATAAATGCAACAAAAATCCATTCGAGTTGGCTTTTAGTTTGATGTTGGTGAAGTTATAGTAATCAACGATGGATGTAACTAGAGAGGAATATGAAAGAAATACGATGTTAGAACCACTTACTGTGAACCGTGATCTAATTTAATAGTTTAGATGGGGAATTAACGAAATTTCTATATGCATGGAAAAAAATTGACAGATTTGACAATTGAAATGGTGCGACTAAAATACATGTACTTGTACGACTAACAGTGCATTTAGTGAGGAAATTTGCTTTGACGAATATAAATCATGTGAACAATCTTGGAATTAGGTAAACTGGAGAATCCATTAGATGAGATAATGAACCGTAGCCTTGACAGTTCGTCCATGATAAATTTACATTCTTTACACTGCTTAAAACCTGGGACGTCCTATGTTACTTGAATCTAATTGTAGTTTACAACTATGACGAAAAGTCAATCTTAAATGAAGAATACTATCCTCAACATGTCTTCCTTCAAATTATTACCTATATTCCCCTGAAAATACACCGTTTTAAATTATATTTACCAACTGGGAGGTTTCGACAATTATTACAGGGAAAACTCGTAGTTAATCACCATATTGTGGACAAAAAGCTTACCCATAAAAGCAATTGTAAATAAACTAGATTTCCGAGAGTAGCAGCAATGTGTATAGCTGCTCGTGGATCTTGAAGTGAATAAGCTGCATTGACTGTTTCAGGTGTAGCTAAAGCTAGACATAGTATAACTTGACGTGTATCTTGACGAGCTATTGCATCAATTAACTGTCGTTGAAGTGGAGCATCAGGATAGGGTAATGGAGGCAGAAATTCTCGATGTTGATATTTGGCTCGAATCCAAATTTCCTTTTCCTCTCGTGAACTTGAAGGATTTGGTTTTCTGATAATCATCAGATTAATAACAATAAAAGTAAGCTTATTATAAAAATAGGGGAAATAAAGTCGTTGTTAAAAGCTTATATATTGAATTTGAAAAAGAAAACAATACAAGGATAGTTTAATTTTTCAACATACGATTGAAAAGTAGTCCCTCACTTGATTAGTTGTTAAGTAACCTAATATAAGTAATAAGCTTAACACATAAAAAGATCCACAAGTTAGTTAAAGACATAGAAAATGTTGCTTACTAAAATGGTATTCGTAAATTTAGTCAACTTATCATTTTGTATAAATCTGACTTATAATACTTGCCGTACAACCTATTCAATCTGATGGTCACGCAATCCAAGTTGAGGTAGGCAGTAGATGTATAAATTTAATAGGTATTCAAAATATACAGTTTGATAGTCAAGTGTAAGTCTTGTCATTATAACAGATGGCGACAGTTGGAGAAAACAAAAACGACAAACTTTAAAAACTAAATCCGAATCACTTCTGCTCAATAAGTAACATCTAGTACAATCATTTATGAGAAAGTAGCTACATACAACTGATGTTTGGACACAAATATATCAACATAAAACTGTATACAGACGATATAATAGTACGCAAGACTGGTACTCCTAGAATGAGCAGTTGACTTTGATAATAACGTAGGGTTCTAAAGACATACAAAAATTTCTCTGAATGACCAATGAATCCTATGGAGATGTGCATCAGCTTATTGCTATTATTAGGTATTGCAAAAATCAAAATCAGATGCAAATTCTGAGGACGACGTGAGTATATACTATACTACGAAAAAAGTGTGAAGTGTACAATTGGTGGTGTTTCATAAAAAGCTAAAAGACGACAGCCTATTAATTCTTCAGAAAATAGTGCTCATTATTGAAAAATTTCATAGGAATTACAAAACCATTGAACAAATGGATGACTATGCCATGGTAACACATTATAAACATCTGAAGATTCTAAGAAACTTATACTAATTTAACAAGACAAGACCAGTAAAATTCAAACATCATGTTATGTTGATAACATGAAGTAAATGTTAGTACCATTGTGGTATAATTACTTATAAGAATAAATACTGCAATATTTCAACAAAATATCTAAAACTTATCACATCATGTATGGTCATTATTAAATTTACCGTAGATTCCCAGCATTTACAGGTGCAGCAGCTTCCCAAACCGAATTAGCTAATGTATTACCAATAGCGCTCATTACAGTGACAGATTCAGTAGACCATTCATCTAAGTGTAAAGAACGTATGCGTGAAATATGTGTTCCAAGTTGCCGATGTATACCACTGCAACTAATACAAACCATAGCGCCTAAATTAAGACTTGCCCAATCTGGTTCTAAAATAGAATAATTCAGAATTTATTGAATAATAAGTGTTTCATACAATTTTCAACAAAATGACTATATGCTATCGGGTGAACTTTTTAAATGATAAGAGTTAAACATTCATTTGTACGTCATGAGGAGTGAGTCAATTTACAGACAAGTAATATCATGAACTGAAGTTGAAAATACACATAAACTGGTTTTAAAATAGAAGTATGGCAAATGTTACGAAAACTGAATGGATTGATTGTGTGTAAAAACTGAGAAGTCACAAACTAGAACACAACGTCCATACAATATACACTTCATAATTTCACATAGTTTTTAAAGTGCTACGATATAGTCATAAACAACAAAGAGTGCGACAGAAATGTGTGTTGCTCATCATGTTATTACACAATCTAAGCATAACAGGATGAAGTTAACACGATAAAAAACAAAGGAGTTACAATAATCGTAGTACTGACAATAATAAGGACTAAACATTGAGAACGTGGTTCCAGAGAAAAGAAATGAGAAGGCATATCCGAAGGAATCCTAGAAACCAAAATCTAAAAGAAGATACAGGATTACAATATCTGACTCATCTTAATTGATTCTAATTCACATTGCTTAACATCCATAATCACAAGTCGAAGTTATTGTGCGAACCCAAACTAGGCAGTATGAAGCTATGAATATGGTTCAGATTAACAGTCAAGAACTTGTTATGAATGCTGAATGGATAAGAATTGAAGTTAAAAATATCAAAAAATGATATAAACATCGAAAATATATATCATTAGACGATCTAAGTTAGACCATAATTGAAAACTTAGAAGCACTGGACGGCCGTGTAGTCGCAGTGTGGGACTCCTTAGAAGTGAGCATCTACGAGCCCACACGCAGCAATCAAACCCAGGACGGTCGCTCAGTGACGTGGATTGATTGAATTTAGACATTAGAACGGTTTGATCTGGAATCAGTTGCCTAGACGTTAAGCGTTCGTACGCGGGACAGAAAGTTCTGGGTTCGAGTCCCGCTCATGATCGTGGATGCTCACGCCTGAGTCCTACACCAAGACGAAACAAAAATTCGGTGCAACGCTTCTAGGCTTTCAATGGTAGTCAAATTGGATCGGTTCATGATTCTAATGAAATTCAACAATCTCCACAACCCCCTCTTTACTGACAATATATATACATAATTAGTGAATGGAAAGTGTACTGACATTGTAGCATTTGTATTGGTTGTACATATGAATAGATCATACAAAAAAACACAATAATTGAAAGATTGTAGAAAACAAACATGCACAATTTGCATAAAACTAAATGAACCAAAACTAAATAAGTATTGTCCCTGTTTTTCATTGTTCATTCACGTATACACATGTAAGGTTTAGTAATAATAAACATATATACATACATGTACAAAGAGAAAAGGTTTTTGTTAAAAAGTAAAATTGAGTGGTTTCTATTTTTGTTTTGTTTTAATCAATAGTAATAATAAGAATGATACTAGTAATGATCGAGCTGTTTTATAATGAATGAATATCTAATAACCAGTTTTACATGAATGTATAGTAGATAATGTATGAAAGTAGATCACACCCAATAATAATAGTAATAAAAATAAACTTAAAATTGATCATTAAAAGATTAATAGATGATTGTATGTAAAATACTGTTACTCTTGTCAATCTAGAATGAATAAAAATAGATACAAGATTCGAGATATATAGAGATTTTAATTGATAGATAGTGAGATAAACTGAGAAGTAAATGAGGTAAAATAAGGGAGACGTCTTTAAGTTTACTATTAGACTTGGAGGAATACATCAAAGGAATTGATAGCACCTGATAAGAACTAGAAAGTAGAGCTCGGGATAGAAATGGTTGAAGTTCTCTGGTCAGCAGCTTATACCCAACGAGGAGTAGCAGGTGTACGCAAGCAAAAAAAACTTGTACTAATTGTGTTTGTTTTATCACTGTTGATATTCAAAATTGCAGTTGATCAGTTAGTGTTGTCATACATGTAATCCGAGTGGACTGGCTTGACATGGATTTAGTGTTTAAAGCCAAAAATACTGGGTTCAAGTGTCAGTGAGAACATCAACACTAGGATGCAGGTATATCCAGTTCACGAGTTGTATACAGAATGAAAAGTGTGTCTTGACTTTCAATACAAGGATTTAACACTTCAATTTGAATCAAAACATACACACAAACTTAGTATTAAATGCATTTTTTACTCCTTGTAGGGATTATCAAATATTGTATATCTTTAATTTTTAAAGCTTAAAAACTAATGTATAAGTATCTCTTCACTTGTTAATGGCGCACAACCACAGAAGCTAAAATAGTATATATTCAAAGAAATCGCTATTCAGACGTACACCATAAAAAATAACTGACATTAAATTTCTCAAGAATTCAACGGCAAAACAGCCATGTCACTCTCCCCAATCGCAAGTATAGGGAACTATTTTGCTATATATATATATATATATATATATATATATATATATATGGATCGGCACGTAGCAGACAAGTTTATTTTATTTATTTGAACACACAGATATTGGTACAAGGGGGCACCAGATAAATATGTGCCACACAAATCTCATTTGATTTGTGTGAGGGCTATGATACTGCCCGGGTGCCCAAACCCAATCAGGTGGTTTTCTTAGGGAGCAACACCTGGAGCCTTTGACCTATAGATCCGATCCACAAGGTAGTAGAGCATCGTAAGGAGATGCAGTCCCATGGTAGTCGGTGACCAATAATTGGTTCATACGCCATTTGTTCCCTCAGAGTAGTGGAGCCCATGTGCACCACTGCTTTAGAATCAGGGTTTTCCAACTCCCCTAGGTGAACTCTCCGTGTTCATCAACCCGGTCAAAGTGTCGGACATTCGCTTTTCGTCCTCTCAATTTCGTAAACAACAACCCCGCCACGAGAAGGCAGTGAGTAGAACTTCGCTGGCAGAGGCTATATACGCGTGGCCTCGTGAGAGCATTTCGAGAGGGAGAGCGGACTGTCCCCACTCTCGGCCGTACACAGCGGAATGAAATTATTAAGGTAAATACCCATAATGGTGAGAGTCAAAGAGATATCGGTAGCGATAAAAAAAAACTAGGGATGGATTATCATTCAACAAGAAATAATGAATTCTTCAAATAAAAAGTATAAAATAATTTTGAACCGCAACATTTAAGGGAAGATAAAGAGTGAACCGATTTACACCAATGTGAGAAATTCTGAGCTACGTCAAATTACACAACATATCCAACCATTAGTCAAATTAACAAAACAAACCACAACCAGCTAGTTTGTATCTGCCAACATAGCTAACAACAATATCTAGATGGATTCGGGTTTAAATCAATAAATCAAGTGACTGACTTAATGAGCCAAAACTGTCGAAAAAACAAATATTCTGTTTAAATAAAGTGAAAAGATCGTGACATAATTATTACAAGCTAACTAAATAACGCCAAGCGAAAAAATCTCATTCAAGCACTGTAAGAATGAGAAACCAAGTTAACATACAAACACTTATATATGGACTAGTCCTGATCTGCAAGAATACAATTACTTATGATACTTTTCAGTCATGTTAGTTCATAAATATATCAAGAACATTCTTTACCACTGTATAAAGACTAGTGGCTAATAATCGCGTATTTTAATATACGACGTACGATTAGTGACACGTTTGTTTTGAGATTCTTCACTGAATTTTTTGTATTTTTAGCTAGCGAAGATACACTGTTAAAAGTAAACAGGAGAAATGGAATGTAAAATAACATTCTAGACAAACTAGTTTATGTAAGTACTTCATTGGTTCTTTTTAAAACTTATCTAGGCCACTATGGAAAATTGTGAAACGGATTAATTCGATGAATTCAGTATATGATGAGCAAAATGAGTGTAAAAAACTTCTTTCTACTGTAATCAATTGTGTAAAAAATTTTAATATCTATACACACGCGCATATACACAATACAAAACAGTGATTAACTTAAATAGAAATTCAGGACCTACAAGTTGTACATATGAAAAAACATCAACCTTACCTGGTGCACCACAGTCTGCACAAAAATCATTTCCAGCTGCAGATCTTATGCTCTGAATTAAATGCTCTGTAACAGCCAATTCATTAGCATCACCGGCACCACAACGACTTGAATTAAGACTGTTGGAATCTCCATGTCGACCACTCCCTGAACCTAATCCACTAACATTGGAAAGGTGGTTGGAACCGCTAGCACCGCCACCTCCTGTAGTACAACCAGTAGCAGCAATAGCACGAGTACGTTTAGATGATTCATTCAACTGAAGTCTTGTCATAATAGCACGTTCAATATACATAACCCATTCATCTCGTTCATCTGGACCAGTCGCTTCAAAATGCCACTGACGATCCATTGATATCAACTGAAATTCATAACCTTCGGAATCTGATAAGGAAAATCCATATATCGGTGAAATAATTAGTATTAATGAAATTTTTTTGAAACAATCAATTAACTAAAGATAATAAAGAGAATTGATGTTTACTTCAGGTATTTTAACTTCCAATACTTACTGATCATCCGTTGTGATCAATGTTTAAATCTCACGCTATTGTGGAGAATCTTACTGATGTTGGAAATCTAAATGAATGCAAACTGGTTGATTTAAGGCAGACGAATACCATCCTACAAACTGAGATATTCTCCACTAATCTTCATCTTATTTGCAGTACATAAATTATAAAAATGTGTCAAACTAATAATTGTAAGAAATAGCACCACTTAAGTTAGATTATAGAGTCGACTATAATAAATATCTACATAAAAATGAGAGAACATAAGGTTGAATGGTATAAGTAGACGATAGTTACCTGATTCCGTGAGCGATGTTCATAGAGAGCTACAGGAGGCCAAAGTTAAGTTTGGCATGAAGTTATTAACTGCTGAGTTGAACCATATTAGCGAATCTATACTACTATGTTAAGGTCTGAATTATTATTGGGATTAGTAGTTGCTGACCTTGTGTGAAATCTAATCAGAATCGTATACACTGGCACAGACAGGCTTACCCTTTGTCTTGACCTAGATCTTAGGGATTCAAAAACATCTTACGTTTATTATTCCAACAGTTTAATGCTCTTTCTTGAATTATATTCTCTATCCCTGATCCTCTTTATTACCGCTACTACGACTATTTTCACTGTTTTGGTATTTATCTCGATAATTTGATCTCGCTGTGTTGATGTGAAATGGTCACTTGGAGTGATAGACACATACTCCAGGTTATATATTGATTACGACTAACTAGATAGAATCATCTTTTAACTGCAACAATAATGTAGCCGATAATGAAAACAATAAAAAAATAGATGAATAAACTGATGAAAATAGTGTAAGGACAAAACAGTTGAATCACCTGAACCATCAGCATTATTACTCTTCGGATTAGATTTAATACGTCGATGACGTTTTTTCACGGATGATGAATCTTTACCTCCTGTTAGAAGTTTCCACGAAGTTAAACTAAAAAAAAGTCAAACAAAACAAAGTTATTTGGATAAAGAGTTTGTGAATATTATTCAACTTGAGTTTTTTTTATTAAAAGAATTCTAACTACGTGAAACCCTGTATCCGACATCGGAGAGGATTCAAAAGTTATTCTACTGAAGCTATTTGTGATTTTATTTCTTCAACAGTTCACACACTTACAATTGAAGTATGAATTTTTAATTATCTTGGAGAGTATTATATACATTCAGATGACTGAGACAGAATTTAGCAGCAAGTATTCCAGACTTTATTTAATCCGTAATATTTATGTGACGAATATACAACGTTAATCCTGTTAACTGACAACGCCAATATGTGAGGAAAAGTAACTTTAATATATAATTATGTTAAATAAATAAACATTAAGCACACAAAAATCAATATCATGATAGAAATCTCTAGAATTTAGTGAATTAAACTAAACAGTAAAATAAGGTTTAGAACATATTATCAATATATAATTATAAGAAAATTATGTTTGTATTGAGAAAATGGTCAGCCTATACTACTAATATGAGGGATCAAGTACAGATTAAATAAATCGATCAGTACTAATACGTAATGACACTTAAAGGATTAGACCATATGCAATAAGAGTTAAAGATTTGTTTTTGTCAGAGAGATCCGAAGACTAGAAAAGCGATCGAAGGGGTAGCAATCACATGACCTTGAAAAAGTAACATGAAACAATGAATTAAATAAAAACAATCAACGAGTAGGCAGGAAAATCAATTCAAGTTGGTATTTACAATTTACTATCACTGCTTAATTGATGCATCAAATTAGTAATGGTAAACAGCATTAACAATTAATAATACTAGTATTTTAATACTGACGACAACGAAGAGATTCATAAAACACTGCAGTACTCTCATTGCACGAAAAATCAAAAATCATCTCCAGTTCATTTTTCGTAATAATGGCTGCCTCCAATCAAAAGATGACAGGTCAATCGACATACTGTCAGAAAACTAAACTCAGAAAAAGATCGTTCTACCATATGTGATAAATATCTCGAAAACGATTACAAGGATTATGAAGCTCTTTAGAATTAATGTTACTCACAAGCGAGCCCCCCCTTTCAGCCAAAGTTATTGAAGCCTATTAGGCCCCTATGAAGAGAAACAGGCCACATCAAAGCACGGCACAACTACCGGGCCTAGAACAGTGGTTTGTGCAATTGTTTGGAGTTTGCCCAATGACGAGCTACTCCATATGATACATGCACCACTTTCGAAATTTTTTTGTCGTTTTTCATTTCAAATGTAATTGTGCTGTTTCTCTGTGGATTTCGTAATCGATTGGTGGGTATAGGTAAGAGTGGGTGATTAGCCCGATCTCCACCACCCGGGTTACCGCTACGTTAGTTCATGAGTCATTCGTCTCACTATCCAAGAGGCACGACGCGAACGTGTGAGTCGGATTTTGCCTCACAAGCAAGCAGTCATTTGATTTCATTCTATGAAGAACAAAAGAAACAATGGTAAAGGAAGACACATCATCTATAAAATAGATTTCATCAATTGCAAGAAGTGTTACACTGGACAAACTGGCCTCACTCTTCACTTGGGCATGAATGAACATAGACCAGCAATGAGGTGATATGATATACTAGCACATATATCATTGAATGGGAACAACCATGGACAAAAAGTAGACTGGAAAAACGTCAAAAGTTTAGGTGAGGGAATCTCAGAAAATTTCTAGAAGTATGGGACTTTATAATAAACACATGAAGAATGCATCATATCACAAAATACACTTTAGCAAAAAATACAATCAAGATGAATTTGTTTATTTGAAATGAGATAGAAGACTTATAACAGAATAAACATTGGTTTTTATACCAAGCTAAGTTTGATAAAGCTCGATGCTCGGATTGCCTTTGAGATGATATTGAGATTGTAAATAACCAATAGATATTCCTCAAAAAGCCATCTCTCATTTCACAGAGCCAAATAATAAACTGCAAAAAACTTGGTATTGCTTACAAAGAACTGTCGACAGATATCAACAATTTATGGGAGATAGCTATGGTTGTACACGGCAACTCGTCAGACACCCCGCACTAAGAAGCCATGTTTTACTAGCATAGCGAAAAAGTGCTGTCGTCAGTACCTTGCTCAAGTGACGTTTTCCTACCAGATCAACGTCAGGACGGCACCAAAAGCTAGCACAGGCTATCATCACCAGCAGAAGATGAATAATATTTCAGATTGCTAATTGTGAAAGAAGCTCGCTTTTCCATGCTTTGACTCAGATAACAATATGACAATTCTATTTTTTTGTAGGTTTACTCTCACAAGTGAATAATGGTAAATCCCCATAAATCAATATAAGTATGAGAATGGTGTTGCACATAATCATAATTGGAGATCAGCTGTTTAGCGAGTAAACCTAAGCAAAGAACCAATGATTAAAGAAAGTGGCTTTCAAACACTGGGTCACAAGTTCAAAACCTGTTCCCTTTACTGTTGTTTGAATAGTAAGAATAAATACGTGTGTTTCTATGATCATCATTCTACTTGACAACGGTATTATTAATCGAAATATCAGATCAGACAAATACGTTATGTGTGCATATATTTTACTAACAAAAATCATTTTATTTATGTTCATTTCACTTAGCACGAACTTTAAGAGATGTACCAAATAAATTGTAACGTTATTTTCAAATATATTTTACTTACTTTAAATGAATACAGAAATATTGAAGAACCATTTTTAAAAGGACGAATCAATTTGTGCAGTATCGGTAATTATTCCCATTTAGAAAAAACAGCGAACAACAAACCAGACAGTGAGACAGGATAGGACGAGGTGGAAAGGAAAAGGAGAAATAGGTAAAACAAACCGATAAAAAAACGTGAGATGAATAGATACTAAAATAAGTAACACATTACGTGCCAATTACATAAATAACAACGAATAGAACAGTAGACAAGGTAACAATCAAGAATGAATCGAACGCTCGTTCAGTATTATACAATAAATTGAATGAAAAATTGTCACACAGAAGAGAAAAACTGGGTAATTATTAAACAAGTGAACAATATGCTGTTTGTTTGCGGTAGATGTAGATTTTATCAAAGATTGACTGATGTCCGCTCGAAATTGCTTTGTTTCCTTTCGAAGTGTATTCTGTTTGATTTATTTGGATTCCACTGATAATACTTTGACCCGTTCATTATCTATCCTCCTAATTATCTCTATCTGTGCTTGTTAAAAATGTGGTAATTTTGTTTAGTGGATATTTGTGTTAATTTCCACATTGTTCATGGTTGACTGATTAATAAATTAGAAATAAACTAATAGCAAACATTGGTTGAATACAATTTCGAAGTTAGTACACAACTGTAGTGGATTACCGAAACATGATTGAATCATTTTTCCTTAAGAATTCATAATGTGATGTGCATCTCAGAGACATAAATTGAAAAACGCGTTAAATAATAATCTTATGTGGAGCGAGAAGCATTCAGCCCATGAACAGTTATGAATGCATCAGAAGGGGTTTTGTGGAGATTGTGGTAATTTCAATAGTTGATATCATGAGATCATGGATGCGCACTGTTGCGGAGTCCCGTAATAGGACGAAACGGCCGACAAGTGTCTCTAGGTTTTCAGTGGTGGTCCAGCTTCAATTGACTGATGATCTCAACTATTGAAGTTGTGAATACATTTGGTCAGTTAATTTTATATTCATACAATATACATTTTGTACACTATCATCCCAAAAAACAATTTTTACCTATCGAGACTGTGAGAAATAGCATGTAAAATCAAAACAACTGATTTTCATGAAAAAATAATGTGCCTTAAACACAAGTAGTTGAAGGACATTGTATATAGAACATGAAGATCTGTGATTTGTAATCTCAGTAGCAGATTATTGGGGCAGGAATGATTTCGAAAAATGCTGAGGGTGAGAAAAAAACTAGCAAACTACTAATGAACCAAGACGAACCATCTAGTGCAAATGACCCAGTTAGAATACATAGAATAATCCTAATCTGCAGTCAGAGAGTTGTTAGTTAACAACAATCCTGTGGCGTAGTTGCGTATATTCGCTACTTTATGATGAATTCTGATCTTTGAGTCATTACATAGTGTGGTACGTCATCGAGTACATTTTAAAACGTATTTTAAGCTATCCCCATTGAGTGATTGGAGGCAGCCAACAGGAAACTTTGAACCTAAGTTTAAGGTTGAATGGAATTCGTTAGTAAGGTGTAACCGTAACCTTGAAGAGACTGGCATATTTGATTTCATGTCAACTATGTTTGCAATCTGAAACTTTACTTTGAACTATTGTGGTCGCGACCAACCTCTTGTAGATCTGAGGTACATATAATTGACTGATCACTGGACAGTGACTAATATCACGGTTGTCTTGTTAATGTTATTCTCCCTTCCGATCATGTTAATTACTTATCTAGTTCAGCTGATATGAAATATGTAAAACTTACAATGAAACACTATTTGCGATAACTTGTAAATCATTTATGATTGACTGTTCAGTGCAGGTGGAATAAATCATGTACTAATAACTCAAAATTAATGATTGTTCAACATACGTAAATGAAAATTTCATAGAGTCAAGCAAACCACTAAAAATAACACTGAAACAAGTAAGTAAACAGGTCGAAATTAAAGGAAAAATAAGTAATAATATGTATAGACTACACAAAAGATGGTAATCAAAGTCACGATTCCGTATTACTTTGAAAGGCAACCGGAACTGATGTTAAGTTAATCTCATATAACTTCACACATTTAGTGAAGAATAGTTCTAATAGAATAACACAAAAAAAATTGAAAGTAGACTTCTGACAAAATAAACTTAGCAAATAAAGAGAAAGGCATATAAAATAATGCTTTTGACCTGATGCCGAATTATCATTAATAGGGGCTGAATTTTCAGTAGGATTCTTAACATCTACGCCAGTTGATCGACGATCTATTAAAAAAACAAAGAGAATTTAAGGAAAAAGAGTATATACACAAAAGAGGATAATGGTTTAGAAGATCCGATAGAATATATTTAATACCAATATAATGATCGCTAGGTTTAGTTACACAAACTGAATAACAATTTAGGGTTATCAAAGCAACCTACCAAACAAAATCAGAGAAATTTAAAGTACCTATTGAAAGGACGCCGAAAATTTCCTAATTAATTGATATTATCGTTTACTACGTTTACTAAGACTGAAGTTTCCGGTCTACTTAGTTCATTTTTTATAAACTGTGTTCTCTGTACTCACAACTTCAAAAGCAATAATGACCTGTCCTACGTAATCATGCTTTATTGCACTAATAAATGGAACTATTTTTTATCCCTTATACGAACTCAGCACAAATGAATAGGGGAAAAACGCCAGTCACTTATTGTTTGCAGTAGTAAAACCTTAAAAAACTTACATAACTATTCGTCATAAATATGTCTACTGAAAATTTTAAAAGTGAATTTCAATAGGCGAACAAGTGTGAATGGACGTGAAAATAGGATCTACGAAAGATGACAAAATCAACTGATGACAAGTTAAAAACAAGTGAACAACATCTTATTTTCTCAACAAATTAGAAAAAAATATTTGATAAGAATGTAGTTATTTAGTATCTCATAATTACCTGTACCGCCATCATTTAATTGACTTCGCAACAGTCCATTACTTGTTATACGACTTCCAACTTGACGAAATGCTACACCAGGAATTTTGACGGTTGTTCTACTTAAGTCAATTTCTTTACCGTGTGAATTGTCCATATAATCCTAAGTAAAAACGCAAAAATCAATAGCAGAACAGATCGTCAAAACAATCTAATATATGTGCGAATAAAGTATTAGAATAAACAACTCTAACCACGTGATTGTGAGAAAATGTTTAGTATAAAATGAAATATATAGAGGTTGTTTCTGATTAGAAACGGGATATGATCAGCAGCGCAACAGGAACTTATAAACTAAATAATGGACCTATATATAGATGTTAGCGTGTATTATCAAGGATCACACGATGTTTTAAGAGCCAGTTGTATCACTGAAATACTCTCGCTCCAATGTCTCTCAGTTTATTCCGCAGACTCTAGAATCTGTCGAATGAGGAATAAAAGAGTCTGTTCTTTGAATGAGAACTTTAGAGTAAGGAAAGGGTGTGATCCTTATTTATCCCGAGTGGCGAAAGGCTGAGTGAACCCCAAAGAAGTAACATTATTACCGCACTTGAAGATGATGTTCCAGATGCCTCAATTTCCAAGTGACTGTCTGTATTACCTATTGTAATATTCAAATACATTTTTTCACCCCGAATTCCTCCACGTGGAGCATTACTTATTTTTACAACATTGAACGTCGGTTTATCGTCTCTACTATAAAGGTAATGCTAATTTAGTTACATACAATGGTTGTCAGTTTTATCTAATCATCTTTGGTACAATGTGTAGGTCAATTCAAGATTCGACTTTTGTACTAGTTAAGTATAAAGAAAAAGGAAAAGAAGTTATTTTGTTATAAAACTTCAAAGCGATTTGCCGTATCATCAAAGCGTATAAATTAGTGACAAAGTTGGCATGAATTATGGTTATTATCAAAGTTAAACTACTTGGAGATCAACCACTGAAATCAGTGCGACTAATAGCGAATTTTAAGACTGTATAGATCCCATCCTTATGCACTTTTGACTGTTGTTAATATTTTCAAAATGTATTCTGTCGATAGTACTGCCTAAAGGATAACTCATTTCAACTATCACCCTGACTCTAAATTACATTTGATACAGAGTATTACAAGTGATAAAAAGATCCATTTTCAGATCTCATTATATCGGTCGATATGATGCATGAAAGTAGTCGACAGATCATTCGTACTGTACAGTCTAACTGATATACCAATATGAAACCATATAAATGACTTGATCACTATTGAGTATAATTTACAAGGATCATAAATTACAACAACAACAGTAACAACAAAAACTGTACAGATTGTTGGAAATGTATAAATCAGACAAGACTAGTCTATAAGCGTAACAATATTTCAATATATTTTCCTCATTTTAAGTTCTCTAATATATGGATTTTAGTGTTTCTTTTAAAACAACCATATATATACATATAATGTACAAATCCAAGCTATTTAGTAAGTATTTACTGGCTTGTATACCTAATAAGATGTTAAATTTATCCCAGTGGAAAATTTCTTTGTTTAGATACAGCCAACCATCATTAATGATAAGCAACCAACAAAAAAAAAAACACAGATGAATCAATTTATTGGACATATGTTAGAAATTTTATTCATACATACAAAAATATACATGGTTACTGTTCAGGTTGTTTTTCTTTTTACTAAAAACTATTCAATATGATATTTTATGAATTCTTAATGAAACTAAACTGACTAACAGAAGAATAACAGTAAAGAAATGTGTTAACAAGTTATTTCTCGAGTGAAAGATAAATTCATGATAAAATCTTATCCGACATTATGACAACAACAACAACAACTGGAGTGACCTAAAATAAAGACTTTTACCAGTATAGATGATGACAGATTAAATAAAGATAAAGAATGAACGCATCAATAAGTGCTGATACAAATTTTTGAAGTAACAGAAAAGATCGATGTGCTTAATGACTTGATTGTTTCTTATAAACAGGACTAAGGATTTTTTTAAGCAAAGATGGATAGTGGTTAGCAGTGGAATCCAGGACGCGCGTTTAGTTCTATTTGGGACTCGTCAGCTGGATTTACCTACATTCCAGAATTGATATTCACTCCGGGACGCGATGTTGTTTGATGCGAACGGTACTGGGTTCGAGTCCCAGAGTGAACAACAACTCTGGGATGCAGGAACATCCAGCTGACGGGTCCCAAATAGGACGAGACAAGAGTCCAGGATTTTACTGCCAGCCACTATTCATTTTCTCTTAAAAAACTTGTGACTTAGGCGATCCGCACAGGATGCACATATGCCAACATGAGACTGATCAATTGCAGTCCTAAATAACAATAGGAAAATACAAGTAAAACAACACCAAGTGAATTTAGGACTAAGGATTGTTATAATGAAAAGAAAGAAATTCATCTTAAATGATTTGTATTCTCACTTCAAGCGTTTAAAAAAACTATTCGACCTCACTAAACAGACTTATGTAATTTGTATTCCTATTTAATTACATTGTATCGTGATCCATGCTTGTCGGTACTGTAAAAGGCAAATAAGAGGAAGTCTATGTGAAATCAGAGAAGTTTAATAGGTAGCAACAAATTAACCAATTCTATCGTCGACCTAGTAGACTAAGAAATAGTTAAGACTATAAATAAGGTTTCATGCAATTAGTTCCCTTTATGAATTTAAATAAAGCAAGAACAAATATTGATGCAGAATAGTATGAATTCATATATTTCGAGGTTTCTCGTTAGCTGCTTACAACCAAATATGTAATAGAATTTTACATTGAGATAAGAAATAGTGTGAAATAATTGACATAAACAAATGTAAATAACTGGAATGACAGTTATTTACATTTGTTTATGTCAATTGTTTCACACTATTTCTTATCTCAATGTAAAATTCTATTACATATGTGGTTGTAAGCAGCTAACGAGAAACCTCGAAATATAATGAATTCATACTATTCTGCATCAATATTTGTTCTTGCTTTATATAAATAAAGTATCGATTCAGAACAACCAATGAAAACCCAAGACGCTATCATATAATGCATGCTTTTTATTTAGCATTGAATCCTAGCAAATTCGGTATTCAATTTTGAGAACAATCTTGTACACGATTACTGAAATAATTCATATGGCATAAGAATACAATGGAAGTAACAATATCCCTATACAATATCTACAGGATACTTGAGATAAAAGAAACAACGAATATGAATACTGTCATCTACTCAGTCAGTCAGTCAGTCAGCTACAACGTAGGACCAGGCACATATGTGCATCGGTCCAGGTTGCCATACCTCATTAGCACAGCAAGATGAACACCGGATTCATAGGAGTGGTTAGGTCAAAGGTGGTAATATATAGGAGAAAGATTGCAAATAAGGATATAGTACTACTTGACAACTAACCCACTTAGTTCATGCATTATATATGGTTCAGTTTTTTAATTCATAAAGATTAGAAGAAATTTAAGACAAACTGGTAATAATTGCAAACAAGTTTATTTCGTAACAGAAAACACTGGATTTCCTTTAAAATTTCACTGATAGTTAGTTAGTGGGATTAATTACTTAACTATTACAGTTGAGTAATCCAATACAGGATCCAGTGTGTTCACCTTTAACGTACACACTTTCAGTGTAAGAGGCCAAATCAAATTAGACGGAGTAGGATTAGGACTTGGAACCCAATGACTAAAAGTTAAAGGCTTTTATCAATAAATGGCAACATTCAGAGGCTTACATAAGCTATACTACAAGTATTAAATATTTACTGAGTTCTCTTATGAGTTTACCAAACTATTTGAATAATGATTCATTGATGCAGTCCTTATCACCAATATTGTAAAACAGGAAGTAACTTTCACAAAGAATTCAAATACTAAACGTCGATTAATATTGTGTGCATGTAGGCTTACTAGATGTTTAATATACATGATAGACTACAGACTACTCGGTAAATAAGGATACAAAATAGATAAACACAGTAATTGCTATGAACGAACAAGAAAGGTTGACAAAATACGTTAAGAGTATTGACGATCATCTTTTTCAAGATGAACACATCAATAACTTATCTCTGAAAAGCTACATACAAATACCAATATTCAAACAAACAAAAAATTGTTAGTGACAAAAACATGATAGTAAGTATTGAGCTTTTCTAACTACTAACTTGTACATTCATTCGTATATACGTACATCAGTTCGAGTTGTCATACCACATTAACACACAGACACAATTGTCTATTCAAATCCCATAGTGGTAGATGTAGTAAGAATATAAGCAGTAATCGGAAACATTAGGTTTTGAAGATGTTATTCAAGGAGTATAATCCAGTGAAATCAATTTGGAAGATAACAGGGACATGAAGAATTCAGAAGATTAGAATTTGAGAGAACACAAAGAGTGAATGCACCTGCGCCATTGCAAACTATTTTGAACCATGTCATTCAAGGTCTCTAACCACCGGTTGCTATCATCTCGCAGATCCCCGCAACCAGATAGTCTACACCTATCAACATCACTCAGTCCACTTGTCAGTCACTTCATGGACTTGTGCCATGTTTTGGTCTGGCCGCCCACAGCTTTCTTCCAACCTACTCCTACACCATAGAACATCACAAGTCAGGGAAGTCGGTGGTTGGGCATACGTAACACATGTCCCAGCCATCTCAACTCATGAAGTTTCACTACTTCATCAATTGATTTCCCATCCTTACCTAGTACCCAATTCCTAACAACTGTGTTACTTACTCGGTGGTCCCAGGTAGTGGGAAAAATGCTTCAGTAATTTGACACAAGGAGGTGTTTGGTAGCAAGAGTACTAACCAACGAAGAGTTCCGCTTTATACAAACTGGTGTCAGTAAACCTGATGACATGAAAAAAATGCGACAGGAGTACCGAGTACATTAGAAACTCTCTATATGTATTTCTATTTAATTAATTAAACCATGATTTCTAAAAAAAGAAAATAATACATAGTTAAATCAGTGAGACTAACTTTATAAAGAAAATACAACAATGAAACATCTATCTATTGATTAAGAGACTTACATGAATACTTGGATGATAAGTAAGACGAGCATCATCTGTTAGAGTTACATACTTTTAGTTTTCCATTCTTTACTTAATGGTTTACAAGTTCGTTTGTATAAAAATCCCTGAATTAAATGTGTAGAATAAAAAAATAACATTATAATTCATTGTGTAACAACAAGTATTCAACAAAACATATTAATTAATGATTATGATAGAAAAAAAAGTCTCACTTTCAAACAAATCACAACCAAAGAGACAGAAGGTAATTAAAACATTCAGGTTTCAATTATTTGGTCCAAGTTTTGAACTTCATTCTCCTTACTTCGGTTTTGGAAGTCATGTAGTATTACCAGTCCGTATACAAACAGTGATGTTTGAAGACAAATAAACAAACATATGCTTCATAAATGAGTTCGATTGCATTTTAATCTAATGCAGTCAGATGGTTCAAATGGGATTCAAAGTGATAACTATCCTCATTTTTAATTGCAAACAAAGCATCAACCGATTTACTATCACCGCTGAGACCTATATATCGAGAACTAAACACCGACTCTTTATAGAGAATTTAGACAAACTCAGTCAAATGATGAAAATACATCTGGACAAAATTTCTGAATCACTAACCAATAGCATATGTGCATTACGATAACCGTCTGCAGTAGTTGTTTTAAATAACTAGTATTCCAAACAATATTTGTTGACGCAATTAATTAAGGAACAGTAAAACTGTACGTATTTCCCTACTCAGGGATAAATATAACAAGGTTGTATGAGTAGACAGTAACTGTGATGCTTATTTCGAAATGGTCAATCAAAACATTAAATCCACTACGGGCATTCGAGAACATGATGAAACCAAACTGAGTTTTTAGTAAAACTTACAATTTCACATTTTAAGAAGCAGTAATTTAATCTCACCATTCAGTCATAAAGAATATAAAAACCTGGCATCGTTCCAACTTGCCACACAGAAAGAAGAAATTATCAAGATGAATATTGAGGTAGTAGTAGTATGTATGTATGTATACAAAAAGAAGATCACGTGTAGATAATATGACTTTAGAAGAGACATCCAGTCAGTAACAACGTACAACTTCGTACGCACGTACATCAGTTCGAGTTGCCACAACACATTAGCACAGAGATGCAGTTGTCGATTCAAATCCCGTAGTGATAGAGGCGGTAAGATTATAAGCAGTAATCGGAAAGATTAGGGTTTGAAGATATTGTTTAAAGAGTATAATCCAGTGACTTTAGAAGAGTGAATTTGTGGAACAAAAGATATATAAACTGATTTTGAAACTTAAATTCTACGATTAGATAAATAGGGAATAGATCTGCATAAGTAATAGAAAGTATTTTAAAAAATCATAGATTAAATCTAATGAAATTACAAACAATAAAAGTCACAATCACAGTAGTAGTCTATAATACTATTCAATCAAGTTAATAGCTATGACCTTTACGATTAGGTGTCCCCAATATAGAGAAAAGAAAGAAAACGTCATCAACTCCAACATTAATAATCATAAATTCATTGGGACAATCGAACATTGTAAAATTTAACTACACCCATATACATTTTAATGCATTTGTTTTTTATTATTTTGTTACACCTTATAAACACATTAATGAATTCCGTAATAATCTACTTCTACTACTTAGAAACATGTTACTGTTGTTTTATAAAGTTTTCAGATTATCTAATTACAAGTTTAAAACAAGAAAAACATAGAACAAATCTCTTTTATCCTTCAAAGCCCAAAAACAGCATCCTTATATAAATAATCACTTGTTATTGTTCTTGACCATATGCTTGACACAGATGGATTGACTGAGTGTTTGTTTTTTTTTGTAATACTGACGTACTTTTACTGCTATTTATGTCTAACAGACAGTATGAATATAATAGTAATATTTGGAAAAAATCAGTCTATCTGATGAGATGCATGACACAGTAATATATACATAACACCTAAGCATAAATGCATTGTTGTAGGTAAATTATATATATATATATATATATATATATATATATATATATATATATATAACAGTATACCACTTTACTGTTTTGGAATGAAAAATGCGTTATATGATTCGTAAAAATTATAGAAGTTGGAATGTTTTACAAAAAACTAATTAGGTATCACGGTTAGAAAATGCTATAATCTCTTTTTCTTATGATATGACCCAGCTATACCTATTGCTTAGTATTCTTGGACACTAAATCACCCGACAAGACCCCAAATCAGAACACGGATGAACAGGAAAGAGATTATATTCCAAATAACAAGGTTAGATGGAAGTAAGATGCAAGTAAGAAGCACAATAGAGAAAACGTTAGTATATTTATAGTTTTTACATGAGAAGATTATAGAGTATTCTCTAACTATCGACTAGTGCTGAGCTTGCATTGAGCTTGCTTTAAGCCAGTCTATGTTCCGCTAACAGAAAGTATTGTGACTCAATTATGAAATGTGAATATCTGTGTACTCAGTTTTGAAACGCATTGTTTAATGTTAAAGATAGGGATCCTAAATGACTTCTGAAATTGAAGTAGGTGGAGTGGGATTCGAGTAATAAACATTGTAGTTGATACTCAAGTGGTTTATTCATTTTTGTAGTGATTCGATGAAGTGTTGTAAAAGTTCAAAGATCAATTGATAATCATGCTAGTAGGATGGATAGAACGTGACAAGGTATCAGTTGATGAAGTGGTTGATAGTTGAACTGAGATTGAGGCCTATTCAATGATAGTGATGGGTTAGATTACATAGCTTAAATTAAGTCAGCGGTGTGGATATATTTATTTCATATTCCCATAAATCTTACGTTTTAATGTTATCCCACTTTCGAAGTTTATTCCCTTCGAACTACATTCTCATGTTTAATTTCATTGTTACCACGATTCCAAATATTTATCTATCAAATTGTAGATTTTTTCGGCTACATTGTCGTATGAACTATGATCATTTATGCTGATGTGCAATTTCACCAGGATATGTAGTGTTCGTGACTAAATTTATTTATTTAAACACAAATATTGGTAAAAAGGGACACCACAATAAACATGCACTATACAATAACGAAATGAGATTGCGAAATTACAGCGGGACCTTCACTGGCTTCTATTCTGAGCCATGTCTGATAACATCTCAAGCAACTGTTTTGTACTTTCACTATGACCGAACCAGAAAGTCGTGACGGACCAACAAATCCCAGTTCTGGGCAGTTTTCTTTGATACCACGGTACAATATCATAAAGTGAACACCTCTCCACTCTTCTCGACCAGTCCAAACTTGGCAAAAGTGGACGATGTGAAGTTCACTAGGATGACATTCTTAGTATATGTCCAAGCCACCAAAACTGGTGTTTCAAATGGTGATACCAGCTGAATTATCGTCGCTGTGCCAAAACACACGATGCCGAACCTCTGCATTACTAACATGGTATTGCCTCTGAAATCCTTCGTGAGAACGATGATCAAATGAAGAGAGTCGTTTAAAATCCTCAAGTCGGAAAGGTCAGGTTTTATAAGCACAGAGCAAAACTGCTTTCACTGACGCGTGTAAATCTGAGTTTTTACAGCCAGATTAACATTACGAGGGCGTCAAAGATGGTCCAGACTGGAATAATTCAATCTGGCTTTCGCCAGGCAATACACTTATAACTTAAGCAATGAATCATGTTACTATGTACAGCTAACAGCATGTACTAGATAGAAAAACTATTTTAATTAGAATAATTACTAAAGAAAATACTCACTTGCTTTAGTGGAATCGCACGTCCACTTCCGATTCCATTCAATTTCTTCTCTCTTTCACGCTCATCTTCATTACGTTTTTGCTGAAGTTAAGAATTGAAATTGTAATCATGAAATAATATGTAAAACAGGACGATTCACTACGAAGATATGGTTCATTAAAATAACACACAATGCAACAAAGCAGTAAATGACCATGATATATAACAAATTTTTAGTTGATAAGTCAAAAAAGTAGTACGCTTAACTTGAAAGTGTTTGTATTTTCCCGTTGTTGACATTAAGGACTCCAATCCATCAATATTCACTGGCATATGTACTTCCTGAGCGGACTGGATCGACATGATCATTTAGTCACAAAGTTTATTAGAGTGAATAGTATTGAGTCTAGTAAGCGTGCTTCATCCCATTTAGGGACTCGTCACCTGGACGTGTCACCAGATTTATGGTGTCGAGGCTGAGACTCGAGCCCAGAACCTTTCGTCTCAAACGACAATCTGTTATCCACTAAGCTACTGAATCCAAATAGTCACTAATCTGTCCAACACTATGATGATGTTAGTAAAGATTTATAACTTCACACTGTTGATATTTCGGACTGCAAACTGTCAGTATTTGCTAGCATATGTAAATCCTGAACTGACTGCCTAAGTATAGAGTCATATCATACATTTTAATCAAGTTAATGGCTATCTAGACTCAGTAACTCAGTGGATAAAGCATTAGAGTTTGAAACAAAGGGTATTGGGTTCAAATTTCAATATGAATCACAACACTCGGATGTCCATACATACAGGTGACATGTCCAGAATAGGACGAAACGTACATCATGGATTTCATCTCTAGTCATGTATGTTTCAAATACACTAAAAGATACAAAATCTTTCACTAACCATAAAGTTGAATTTCGAAAAAACTGTTTTATTTTTCTACCTCTTTCGGAGATTTTATGATAAACATGTCTAATAATAAATGGTAGATAATACAACAGTTCACTATAAATCTATAATGACAAACTCTAAAATTAACTTATATATTCAGTGAAGAAAATCAAAGTAAAATATTTTAATTTTGATTGCAATTACATGGCTATATTTCGCTTGGAGAATAAATTAATTTTCTCATTAAGTGGTTTAAGCACATATGACGTTTACAACAACTATTGAATTGCATACTTAAGTACCATACTCCATTTAGGCAGTCAGTTATTATCATTAATTCTGATTATTTTTTATCGAATAGTATGGTTTGAAAATGGGTACGTGAACTATTACTTCCTAGTTATTGAATCTTATCTCATTTGAAAGATTTAAATTGGAAAATTCTTTTGAAACTGTATCTTCTGAGCTGAGGATTTAATTGCAAGCTTTCATTGATTTTCTAGATATCATCAACATACACTCCAGATGAAAGTGGACTATGACAATTTCTCCACAAGTAACTATTTATCATTTCTACTAGAAGTTTGTGCTAAGGATGCTGTTCAGAAAGGAAATCAAAAACTCAGAGACTAAACTATCCAAGCTCAGAGAATTCAATGCCATCAAGCTTATCATCCTAAGTCATATATTCCTACCACATAGGTGAACTTAACTGTGAATGTTCACTTGATTATTATATACATCTGTAATTAATTCATTTGACTACAACTATGACAAATGTGAGTATTTAATTTTTACAGGTTAATAGAACATTGTGATATTCTACCAATGAGTTCGCCAGTGGATAGCCATCCGTGACACCAAAAAAAAAGAAAAGAAAACAGTCATTATCTTAATTAGTTTATTTCTAATTCGATAAAAGTAGACGATTTTCCTTAAATGTTTGGCGAGAACGAGATAGACAAAATCAAAATGACACATTAAGTACACTAAACTAAATAAAACTCAGCATGACTGAACACATGAATAAAGTACAAACAGAAAGATTGTGACGTCATATAGTTTGTAAATGCAAATGAAAGGAAGAAAGTAATACGGGATAGTAATGTTCATTATATAAGGATTTTTTCGTAAAAAAAAATTAGCATGCCAAAATACGTGAATGATGTTTTTTAACAACTTAGTATACATAACGTTTTAACAGAAGAAAAATAATAAAATAACAGGTTTTTGACTATTTATAAATATGGGCTATTTACTATATATTAGTAACCGAGTAAAGCCTTGTGCGTACATTTTATGAATGATTGTTTACTTAAAACGAGCTAGCTACAATCTGATCTGATAATAACCTGTAATTCAGTGGTTAAAAGTTGAATGCTTTATTCACTATGAAGTTGTGGTCCATAAGCCAAGAATAGGGATTGGCAAACAAGTAAATTAAACTGGCAGTTTTATTTACAACACCAAAATGCGGTAAAAAGAAGGTATTAAGATGTGTACAAAACTGATCAACTAAGTGGTAAAACAGAATACAAACAATAAACCTTATACTGCATATGTCGAGCCGGTATATTCAAATAGTGGCTTAGTGGTAAAGACATTCGACTTTCAACCACTACAACTCAGGCTTAAGTCCTACTTCACATAATCACCGTTTGGAAAGCCAGGCAGTATCGCTAGCTCTCAAACATAAAGTACGGGTCAAAGACGAATATGAACTTATTGAGATGCAATCAAGTTTCTAATCTAATGCCTAAGAGCCAGCTAACAATCAGACTTAATTAAACATTTTTGACTAATCAAATGATTATATAATTATAAAGTTGTTGTATTATAACAATCTTTTTTTCATTCGCCAGCTAATCAGGTAACAAGACATTAACCCCGGACAAACCGATATGCATATTTTTCACTAAACGAAACAGTAAAAACCCGAAAAACAAAATAAAAACTAAGCATTTTTAAAGAAATCGTTAAAAAAGCCTATGAGAATTCCAGTGAAGAGTATGTAAATTCACAACTGTTTTCTTTAAAAATAAACGTTGAATGAGTTCGGAGCTAGCAAGTTAAGTGTGGAAAATAGCAAAAAACAGTGATATAAAATTTCACAAGCACGTCCCTACTCTCTCTCTCTCTCTCTCTTATAATATATATATATATATATATATATATATATATATATATATGTGGCCACAAAAAGGCATAGAAAAACGAATTTAAATCTTGTGGAGTTTAAAATCGGCTTACAAATAAATTGGATTTTCGTCTATTCTTTCGTGAATGTGTTGGGGTACTGCTAGGAGTAAGAGATTCATTATTGTCAGCCTTACTTTCCTAGATTAGAAAGAGAAAAATATTCAGATTTCTTTGCTAAGAGGACAAAAAGGAACAAAACATTTAGGCAGCCAGATGAGCAACTAATAATAGTACCGTGCAAAATAACAAAGCTAAATCTGTATAGGCGACTTTAGAAAAGGCTGTACATGATTAATCATTATTGAATCATGCTAGAAAAGAGGCAAGCAATTATTAAGTAGATGTGGGACAGCAGTTACTTTCGAGGTAATTTGATTACTTTCAACCAAGTGATAAACGTGCAAGGAGGGGGCAAAGATGAGCATGCCTTTCTTGTCACAAGACTTACTGCTTCAACACCTAATCCAATAGAAGATACACTACTGGCAGCAGCAAGCGTGCCTGATGGAAAGTTTGGGGAAACAATAAATGGAGAGTATCCGATAGCGGAAGCTGCAGGTGCAGAGAGAGGTTGTGGTGTAGAAACTCCATTATCCGAAGTACTAGGTGGGTATGGAATTTTGCCGCTATATTCTGAATAGACATGAGGAGAAGGTGATTGAAATATGCTTTCAGAATACTCCGTTGGTACGTACTCTGGACAACGGAATAAAGGATGCTGATGTCTTTCGTCCAATAGAAATGGATGAGTAGCCCAATCTTCGGCTGGATCAGTAGTACAAGTATTAGCTCGAATAGGTTTGACATCTGCAAAGAAGTTATCGCGCTCAGACGGTCGGAAATCCAATGTAAAGGAGTGTTTTGCAATGCTAAGGCAGATTAGGTTTGGTGGGATGCAAAAGAGTTTGGTGTAAACCAGAATCCTAAGAGATAGTAGAACAGAGTATTTGTGATATGGTCACAGCTTATCCTAAAGTTTTTAAACAAAGTATTAAGTGTTCTAACAATTATTACAAAACTTGTTAAGAATTGCTAGATCTGAATTCAAACTTCACGTAGGGATGTGTAAAGTAAACTTCTTTCACAAACCGGTAACCAGTAAATTAGAAATATAAAAAGCAATGATTCGGAGCAATATATTGGTTTAAAAACAAGACATAATAAAGTTCTTAGTATAACCAATAGTGTACTATAGCTACAATTATATAATAAACAACTTACATTACAAAAATATAAAACACTACTCCAATGAAACTTAGTAAAAAGGGTACCAAAATGCAAATAAAACTAAAATAAGTTGGTGATTCTGAAGCGGGAAATAAATGTTAATGGGACGTTGGACACAAATTTAAACTACACCAAGAGTTTGCGAGTTTTGTGAGTACCGACACATTACTGAACTGTAAAACATCATTAATGTTTACAGTTAGGGTTGAAAATTTTCTGCTACTGAACACTAATAAGTGTATCAGCAATCCAATGTTCAACGTCCAGGTAAGAAGAGACTACAAATATGTGATAGTAGTTTGGACATCACCATCTGTTTATAATGTACGTTGGTTGGTAAGATTCATGGCATTTTCATAATTTGTGTACAAATAAGTATACCACAAGACTGTTGTACAGAGAAATAATTGCAAAATGTTACATTTCAAGAACTTTCTCGACAATACGTTTGGTATAAAAAACAATTTAGTTATTACTTCATTGAAATCAAGTTCGAATCCAGGATTGCTGTGAGTATCAGGACGACGATTCGAAGGATTGTTGGGGAACACTGGTCGTTCTTTCCTATCGATACCACTCGTAACTGAATTAGTTACATTACAGTTAACCCCCTGGAATTAAAACAAAGAAACTAGACCTAATAACCGCGGTAAAATGTACACTTTGGATTGATGCTGTCATATTGTCTTTAGTGAATGATATGCAATTAATTCAGTGACTAAGGAGAAGGAACAGACTAAAGGGTTAAGTCGTTGCTAATGAAAATAAAAATATGACTAAGCTACTAAGCAGAGAAAATTTGAATACAATAGAAATAACAAAAAACTTATGACAATTTTTACATACAATTCACTTTCCTAGGCATAAAATAATCACATACTGTTGATATAAAATGTCCATAGTTTTTCGGGGGTTTTTTAATTTTGTTCATAAAAATTAGTAACAACAATAAACTTAATTATCGCTAGAAGCTCTGTATATAGACTTATGCACTAGCAAAAAAGCCAACATCCTAATAACAAAACAGAAACGTCACCCATAACAGGCAATCTATGACGAAATCTACACTTGAACTATTTTTGCAAATTATTGTGACAAAATTAACATCCTAGTAGAATTTCTAAAATTTATATAACCCAGTAAAAGAACACTTATAACAGTCAACATAGTAACTTGGCTACATGATAGATATTTCCTAAACATTTTTTTAATATATGATACCGTCTGCTAACAATATCAACCACTGAACAACCATAGCATATGAACAGATGATTTTTAAGGAATATTTGTCATTCTCTTAATCAGAAACAAGGATGTAAGTTTCCACACTTAACATCTATAAATTTACAACACAAAAAATAAAGTTTAAGTAATTATACCAGTAGAACACTACACAAGAGCGATATACCTCGAAAAAAACAACTGAAATTCAAGTACAAAATGCTACAATACTACACTAAAAATTTAAAGTAAGCGAATGAATGACCATTTGCATCAGTATGATTAACCTGATACAATGTTATCTAAGGGACTATTATACTTAAATTCGTATTACTATGAGAAGTTAAATAAAATCGTTATCCGTAACCTCTGATATAAATAAGCAACAGTGCACATAAATGAGGATAAAAGAACATTTAATAGATTCACCTGAAGACTAAATGCTAAACAACACAACAATGAAATTAGGCAGTAAATGTTTTTTTTAATATGATAGAACTGATGAATGAGTCACGTGGGAGTTTACGGTACCATCCGAATAATGAGGGAGTTACTCAATAAAATGGAAAGATTAAACTTAATTAGGAGACACTATATTTTTATTACTGTTCGATTATTTGGGTAATGTCATGGTATGGATTATCGCAGAGCAAAGTACAACTGTTGGTCAGAAGAATAAGTGCTAACGTTAGCCATTAAGATCTCGTCATAATAAAAGTCGTATACAGTTTCAAAATGGTGCGAGTCAAGGTCTCCTAACTCAGCGTTTGGATTTGCACTTTAAAAAGTCGTTTTCCTCAAGGTTATTTCCGTTACGACTATTTCCTCTTTGCTAAGTAAAGGAGAAAGGTCATAAACCCTGCAAGACCATGGCAATATGGTACATATTGAGGTTCAAAATAAGTAACTGGAAAAAACCAAGCTCCAAACTTTATACTAGATCATACTGGTGAGTACATTTGCTTTTACTTGAAAATAATGAACCCAGGAAAACTTATTTATCACTAATCTTTCTGCAGTCTTTTGCTCCATCATCTCGACACCGAATTAGCATAGGCCAGAACTAAATAAAACTACCACGGAAAGCACTGCGACTTCCTACCACTACGAACATGAGTCCCATGAAAATATTGTCTACTTAATAATGAACTTTAAGTTTCACACTTAGAAATTTAAATAGATTTACCAATTCTCGATTCTTCAATATATTACACTTTATACGAATTTCGTTACAATTCATCCGTATACTTGGTTTTTATTTAAGAACGCAAACTTTAAAACAACCTGGAAAAAAACTTACAAGAAAATCAGCATAACATCAGGTGTCAGTCAACTGTAATCGAATTTCTCATTTAAAGGATCAGGAAGTAAAACTACTCACAATGAGATGTATCTTATGGCAACACTTGGATTTCAGATAAACACAAGATGTGTTTACGCCAAACTGAAGAAACGTGTGATATGACGGAAGTACATAACTAATAAAAACGCAACTCAAAGGATCTCACAATGTCAACCCAAATCGTAGCTGTCATGTTTTATGAGTAAACGGGAAAATATTTCTCTGCAGTTACGACAAACGACATTTTACCTTTTCACGCTATCTTGATGTTAACTGATACTTTTTTATACGGTCACATTCGAAGCTGACTTTTGCCTATGACCTTTAGAAAGTAGTAACTTAAGATCAATGAAGACAATCAACAATTGTTTGAAACTATAGTTTGAAAGGTAACATAAATTTAGAACCTATTCAGCATGCACGCAGTAATGCTTCAAGAAACGAACTGATGGAAGAAAATTAAACTTTAAATGACTATAATGAAACAATTTGTTAGCGTGACTCCGTAAGCACAGGTTTATTTACTTATCCTTGAGCCAAATTTCCGTGAGGGCTGGTGACATTATCCAACTCCTGCAACTAACTAACTCCTGTTGATTTAACTAAAAAAGTGTGATAAATAATGAATCAAATCGACTACCTTAAAACTTGTACTCCGAGGTAAATATCAGCATTAAAGTACTAAGTGTTTAAAGCTGTCACCGTGACAACACGAAATCTAGATATTAAATATTGTTAAAGATTACAAAATGCTACCAAATATTGAATTGTCAGTCCTACTCCTTACTCACTGCACACCATAACTGCATGATGAACCAACTGAATGCCGTAATTAGGAGTCAAGTTGTCTCAAGATTAATGGGACGCATCAGTCACATTATTTCCGATCATTATTATACAATTTACTAAGGCCACGGTTCACGACGAAGACTACTATTTCTCAAAACAACGAGCAAGATAAATGATTTCTGCTTTTAAGATAATACCAGCTCCTCTAACTTCAGACAAAACTTATTTAGATATGTAGGGTAACAATAAAGGGAAATTAAGGTTGTCTTATTATACATTACATCCATAATTAATTATTACCTTACATGGAGGATAATGACTAATTTATATTATGAGAATTAAGTCTAGATGAAAACAAGATGTTTGAACTATGAAGATTTAGATTCAAAGAAATTTTATGTAGATCAACATGAAAAATTTAGATTAACAGGCTACTTCATTATGTTGAAAAAGTTTTAGTGAAGCTCTAGGTCTACATCTTTATCAGTAAATCAACAAAATAACCAAGACATGTCTTTCCAATATTGCTTTTTAACGTGAATGTAGCTTGACCAGTTTTATTTGACGGAAACCTATCCGTAAATATAAGTCCTAGTAACACTTCTAAATGAGTGACATATAATACCAAAAAATAGTCTTAATTTAAAGTTACCTCCGATTCCGACGTGATTATTATTGAAGTAAAGACTACACGGATCAATCTAAATGACAAACGACCAACGTACATATACATCTATTAACATAAAAAGCACAGGCAAAAGCAACAAGCTTTTTCCTATCTTTCGTTGCTACACATCTTGACTGTAGTTTAGAATATACCTCGAAATACATGAACGGTTGTATATCAGTAAACGTCGATTGAGTGAGCTAATAAGTTTAACATAATATGAATATCTAAAGACTTTCGTCTAATTTTGAGCAAATAGTTTCACAGTATTTAGGGCGCCGAGTGTGGCTAGAAGATAGAGATACAAGGAATGCCGATCAAAAACTTTAGAAAACCGAAAAATACTGGATTTTGATATACTTACGGGGTTTTTCATTAGGAGAGGACCCTCACGAGCATTCACTACATTCGAAAACAAAGACTGTTGTGATTGACTTATTCCAACAATTGGTACACATTCAACAGGACTATTAGCACATGCTCGCTGTTGTGAATTGGATGAAATTTGGGGTGTGATAGGTCTTGGGACAGGTGAGTTACCAGAGGCACGCAACTGAAGTATTTTTAGACATGCTGTGGGAGAAATGAGTATGAATTTCAATTACCATCCTGAAAAACACGTTCAACGTTTAGGCCGTAGGCAGCACACGTCTCATAATAAGCACAACGCTTTAGATCATTGGCAAGTTTTCGAGCACGTGCATCATCTATCACACGCACATACGGCTCACAATTCGAATCTAGGAAGGTGAGAACAATGAGTTACTGATACCTTGAGTCCCAACAAGAATTATGGGTAAACTAGCGATACTCCTGTAAGTTGAAAGACGAGCATAGTAGTCATAGACCACTTGGTAACTTTCGATGTTTTCTAGGCTAAACACAAATATAACTCCATCGACCCATTGACTAAACTGAAGATCAGGCGGACCGCCTTCATCACGAATTAGAAGCAAGTGACTTTGATTGTCCAAGATAGCTCTTTTTTAAACCTTCCACCTTCTGGGGACTCATCGTGGACATACGCTCCTGTGAGATAGCGATGTACCAAGGCGGACTTCCCACTTTGAACAGAACCAAGAAGCCCCTTACATATCATGCAATAAGAAGAAATATGCTTACCAGTTTTATGCCTGGAACGCCGTTACTGAGCGTCCACTCCTGACTATTGACGAATGCGTCTAAGAGACAAAAAGTTTGATAGACAAATGATACGGTACCTTCAATTGACACAACTAACTGACGCAATGATTCTGCCAAATTTTTATCCTCAACTGCATCAATAAGGTCGTATATAGCATAGATGTTTGGATGAACACTTTCGAATCGTATAATCTCTTGTCTGATAGCATTCGATATATCATTCAGAGAAGACTGTGAGCTCATGATGGTAAACCCTCCACCATTAGACAGTTCATAAATCTGGCGGTACCAAAAGTTGCTTTCGAGGTCAAAGCATCTGACCGTTCAAATTCCAAATCACACTCTTTACAATTTGTCAGTGTTACTTTTATCGCACCAAATAATCGTGCTTTCAGAAATTCGTTCATGTGTATACATATTTCTTCAGTTTGCCAACCAGCTGACGATGATGGTCAGATAGACAACTATCGTTGATCTCAAAGGGATGGTCGGAATCCTATTCTTCGGATTCACAAAAGCTTTTGTTAGGATCAATCATATATGTCTTGTAGCAGTAAACAAATCCCCAAAATAGATAGCTGACCAGATTAGTTTTAGTGGACTCACCTAGCTGAAGGCGCTCGGTCATGCATCAGCACCAGATCACGTGTGGGAACGCTGTGCTCAACATCTACCGCAATCGCTGGCCAGACTAGATCAGACAATTACGATATATTGGCAATCGTCGAATACAACTTCTGATCTCCTCGATTCTGTCTTTTGATTTCTCTTGGTGGGTACGAGTTATATTAGAAGGTGTTGCTGGTAAAAGCGTCGTCAAACACTGAATACCTGTGCCATCTTCAGTCTTATCAATAAGCTCAATCGATTAGGCAGAAAATCACAAATCGTTTGACTATCTTATTTCATATTTATATATTTGACTTCATAAGATTGGTGTAAACTTCACATTTCCTCAGGATAGAGGATGTCCTAGTGGTATCCACCACGATTTACTATTAGAACTTCATTTTTTGCGTTGATGTAAACTACATTCTTCTTGGAGCTCATTTTTGGTCATTTCGACGGTAAAACTTTCTACCTGAACAATTCGCGGACTCAAATTTAAGACACGAAGAGCGCCTCATAGTATGATGGTTGGAGGATGAACTATACTCAGTACGAGTATATGAACACCATTAGGAATATCATGACTGACATGCACTGTAAGTCAGTCGAATTTAATTCTTAATACTTATTTAAGTATATTAAGTCTTCTTTCCGACATATTGGACTCGCTCTCAGTTTTCTCTTATTCCAGCCAACGTGTCACATTACCCTGGTAAAAAATAGTCGAATTAATGCAATTTTTCACAGGTCAAAGTCTTCCACAATGATTTTAGACGTGTGTGGTTAACAAGATGCTGTGAAAATGTTTTTGAAGTCAAAGTTAGTATATGCGTGGAGTGGTAAATACGTACACATATCTATGTATACATGTATACATATACATATTCATAATATTTTCTCAGTCTGAAGTCCGCAACAGACCAACTGCATTCATGCATAACATTAGGGGACTAATACTCAAATTAATGTACTCAAGTGTTTGGGCGAATTTACATAATTGTACCCCATTTCACTCCATGATATCTTTCTAATCAAGAGAAAACGTAGTTATTTAAGCCAAAGTAACCGTCAGACATGATTGCCTTGCACTATGTATCTGCAATGAGTTATTTTTCTATATTTGATGTACATACAACATGTTGCATGTTCAATTCGCCGTGAAGTGATTTCGTAATACATAAGATCTCACGTCAGAATCCATCGTTTTACTCTAAATCGCTCTAACGTCGAAGTAGGGGTACAGGGTCCTGTAAGAACTTTTAAAGAAAGGATACGATATTGCTAGCCGTACTTATTCTAACTTAGACTTCTCTTACATTATTTGGACCCATTCCATCTTATTGTATAACACAACTCATTGTCCTTTATTACTGTATTCTCTTATCTCAAGGCTCTATCCACACTTCCCTGTAGCAACGGCAGCTAGTATGAACATTAACTACTAATATATCATATCTTTGTCCATTCTATTAAAAACTGTTAAGCATTGCTTAGGGTTTATATTCAAATGTCTTATCGCTCCTTTGTTACTCTCTTTTACGGCATTAGGCTCTCAATACACAGTTATGGAGCTTCTGAGGCCTAAAACGAACTTGAGTTACGCGTTTTTAACGTCAGAGCTTATATGAAGCGTCCTTTATGTGTACTTTTTAACAAATATAAACTCCTTAAGCACTTGTGTTGCATAAATACTTTTCAGGACCAGAATTCTAACACACTTATGCAGAGTTTGTGCCTGGTCTGCAAAGTGGACACGACGACCTTTTTGAGATAGATCATAAAAACAGCACTCACAATGCAGTACTAAACTACAAACCTAGTCATTAACTCTCTGGGACATCTGCCCAAATGTACTATCTTTTATTTTTATTGATTTCATTTACTTAACAACCTTAATTACGAAGCATACTTTATGCGAACTAATGTTGTGAATCGTATATCACGCTTGTAAAAATGGTGTGTGCCTGCTCCGGCAGAAATATATTATACTTTGAGCAGAGAACGTTGAGGTAAAAACTGAATACATATAAGTGAATCAACAAGTGAAGAAGAGCATTAGAGCCGATAATCAGTATTACTTAGACGACTTGGTAACGACAGAGGAAAAGCTACCGGAGAAAGAAATATGAAGCAACTGCATAACACATCGTAGAAACTGAAAGAAAAATATGATAAACCGAGTTGACTGGTCTATCACAAAGAAGGCAAACCAATCACAGAGATTCAAGAAAAGAAGAACAGGCGAGTAGGACATTTTGAGGAACTGTTGAATAGGCAGGATCCAGTGAATCCACCGAACATCAAGGCGCCACAAACAGACAATCCTATAGGTGTCACTCCACCAAGGATTTAACAAACCAATATGGCCATTATGCAAATCGGAAGTGGGAAATCAGAAGGACCTGGCAACATACCATGTGAAGCACTGAGGTCTGACATACAAGTAACGGCGAAGATGCTTCACGTTCTATAACCTGTGATGTATGCTATTTATGTTAGATATACGTATTATGCGACACCACACTGAAGTGGAAGACCGCTAACAGAATACCAAGGAGATTAAATTGAAGTGAACAGAAATGCAGAACGAAAGCAACTGTAACAACAACAGAATAGAAAGAATCATCAAAGATGTAAAGGACAACTGAAAGAGGTGCAAGTAACGTATTTAATGTATGGTTAACATATCTTACGTAGGCACTCTGTAATTGTGGATTAAACAATAAACTGGTTATTCGTGCCGGAGTGTTGGTTCACTACACAGCTATATCTTCTAACCCATACATACTAATGAATGCAGGCCACCACAACCATTGTAGCAACATCATCAAAATCCGTAGGTCTAAACATGCAATAGTGAAAAACCAAAATCTGATAAGTCTTCTAATTGAATGCTAGATTCCGTTTCTTAAACTCCTATAGTAACCCCGTGCTAAATCTACACAGCGACCAGAACACGAGAGAAAAAATGCAAACTATGGAAGAAACGCCTTACTCCTAAGTTTCGTTTATGTACAGAAAACCTAGGGTACTTATAGAATTTTAAATGAATTTGAGCTTCCCGAAAATTCCGGAATGCCACAAAATATAGTGTCAGTATACGTACCATACAATCAGAAATGTGACTTGTAACTTTTTATTTTCTATATGTTGCTGATAGAACGTCTATTGGATGCTGATTTAATATGATGTTTCTCAGCGTTTTTCAGAGCCTCTTTTGGCTTTCTTTGAGGAATTTTCTGGACCTCTCGACATCTTCCTATTTTGGAAAATCGGGATCTCTCCCAAGAAATAATAGTGGATGTTCATATTCCCAAGTTACAAATAATCTTGCTTTATTTAAAGCATATATGCCGCATTGACTAGAGAATCAACTAGAAGCGACTAGATGGTGAGGACCCGGGTTTGATTCTTCTGCGAAATTTTCATGAAATTTATTGAGAATCTCATTGTTCGATAATGGATCACTCGGAAATCAACATCTATCAAAACTGTGTAAGGATTTTATCATAGCTTGATTCGTTCCACATATTTTATCATTTTTGTAAGAAATCTGATAATAAACATGTGTCATTAGGATAATTCATATCTGGTAAAAGAAATACAGCATACCAATAATTTTATTCATCAGAAACTTATGTCGCAGAATAAAGTGTACCATTTTAAGAAGAAAAAGACTTTGAAGGTAGATAAAACACACATTACGGAAATCATCAAACTGCACCACAAAGCAAGCGCTAACTTGGAACTCTGATGGGGAACGAAAAATAAGGCAATCGAACACACTGCGTTGAGAATGTGGAGATATGACTGACAAGCTTATTTTGTAAATAGTTTTTAATATTATTTGTATTTGTTTGTCAATTTTTCACTGTATGTACATTTATCATTAAATGACTGTACATGTTGTTTTAGTCAATGACCTTGAACACACTTTCCGTTGAGCTACTACATAGCGTGACATATTAGTGCTGGTTAACAAAATACATTACTACTCACGCATTCCTCGTTCTATCTTCATTTGCGATGTTTCAACGGGTAACAATCGCCCTTTCGTACCACTAGCATGTCGTCGACAGGTATTTCGTCAACTGCATGACCTTTCTCACCCAGGAATCAGAGCCACAATCAAATTGGTTACTGAGCGTTTTGTGTGGCCAAAAATCAATTCAGATATAAAACGATGGACGCGAAGCTGCCTACAATGTCAACGCAGCAAGATTCAGAACACACGATCAGTCCAGTTGGCAAGTATCCCCTGCCGGAAAAACGTTTTCAGCATATCCACTTAGACATAGTTGGTCCATTGCCACCATCTAATTCATTCACGCACATTCTCACTGCGGTGGACAGGTTCACAAGATGGGCCATAGCATGCCCTATTGCTGATACTTCTGCAGAAACAGTAGCCGGCGTATTCCTTGACCGTTGGATAGCGAATTACGGAGTACCTTCTATCGTCACTACCGACCGTGGTCCCCAGTTTCAGTCTATCTTATTTCAGGAATTCACAAGACTTCTGGGCGTGAACCACATCAAAACAACAGCCTACCACCCAGCAGCTAACGGCTTGGTCGAAAGATTTCACCGCCAATTGAAAAGCTCGCTGATGGCACAAGATGATACGACAAAATGGAGTGACGCATTACCACTTGTACTCCTGGGTATCCGTTCAACTATAAAGGAAGATATAGGTTGTACAGCCGCTGAGCTAGTTTACGGTACAACCCTTACATTACCAGGTCAACTAGTGGACCCAAACACTTTAACACCAACGGACCCAAGTCGTTTTGCTAGCCAACTGCTGCAAACCATGCAACGAATCAAAGCCATACCGCCTCGTGAACATAACAATCGAATACAACTCAACAGAAATCTAGAAACATGCAAATTTGTCTTTGTTCGAGTTGATGCTGTTAAAAAGCCATTGAAACAACCTTATGAAGGACCATATCAAGTAATTAAAAGAACGACCAAACACTTCATAATCAACAAGTGTGGAAAGAAAGAGACTATTGCTATCGATAGAATAAAGCCTGCTTTCTACGAAGCACAGCACGACAAAGAACATACTACTTCACTGAACCAACCCCGTCCAGCAACCACCACTACAGCAGACATGGAAGAAAAACTGAGTATCAAACCTACTTGCTTAACGCGCTCAGGCAGAGCTGTAAAAAAACCCAAACGCTATGTACATTTCGCCGAATAAAAAAAATCTAAACAAACAATTACTGATGTACTATCCCATTATACTCACCCGATTTTTCCCAACAAAATCTATGATTTTTTTTTTTTACAGTGTACATAATTAACCATATTTTTTTCCCCACAATTATTCGTTTTGTCACATTTTTTTTATAAAAAAAATTTGTTACAATAATAAACGAGTAAACTCTATTTAATTATTCATTTGTTGTACACACACACACAAAAAGCAGTTCATTTTTTTTGGGTTCAGTAACAGTTCTGTACATTATTATCATTGTTAGCAAACCAAGATTTTAAATGACGGTATTCTCATTACTTTTGTTTGTCATGCTATGCCACATCACCGCTATTTTCACGCAATAACACACTGTATATTATTAACGTACATGTCATACGCATCTCCACATTGTTAATTGGTTATTAATGTAAATATTATTTTTTTTTGTATAAAATTTTTCTTATTGTTATTGTAACCAGTGTTACCTCCGGACACTCTGGGGGGAGCTATGTGGAGATATGACTGACAAGCTTATTTTGTAAATAGTTTTTAATATTATTTGTATTTGTTTGTCAATTTTTCACTGTATGTACATTTATCATTAAATGACTGTACATGTTGTTTTAGTCAATGACCTTGAACACACTTTCCGTTGAGCTACTACATAGCGTGACATATTAGTGCTGGTTAACAAAATACATTACTACTCACGCATTCCTCGTTCTATCTTCATTTGTGATTGAGTTAACGGAAGTCTAAATCAAATACTATCTACATTTATAGACTATAATCGGAATATATCACATCCTACGTTGGACTATATCGCTAGAGAGTTCACCAACCTGCTCAGAGTCATCAAGCATTTATAATTGTGGATTTACATTACTGGACCTAATCAGAACACGCAACGTTTGGGCAATTTAAGTAACGTCCCCAATTTTTATTGTATTTGTAACAATTAACTGTATATATTAATATTACTATTTATCTTTAGTAACTTTGTTTATACTTTTTGCGTTCATATTTGTCTGGTCCACCACAAGAATTGGAAGCCGATATGAATAGGATAAGTAGCAACTGGAAACAACTGGAAGGATTTCTCGGGACAGATTTCGATGGCAAATGCTGGCAAGCAGACTATGCTCCTCTGAAAATGGTAATTGGAGCAAGTGACTAAGTGATTCTTATTTCTGTATTGAAAGAATTCGGCGACAGTATTCTTGTATCTCCCAAAATCTGCAGTTTTAGTGGTTTGTTAGGGAAAATTTATGTGGTCTGTAGCTGATGTATGTAGACTAACTGCCTAAGGAAAACATTCAAACACTTGTTTACATATACATGCTCACAGAAACACAAATGGCGCTCGAATAGTGAGGTTTTAGAAACAGACCATAACAGATAACATTCCATTTTCTAAATATTTTTTAATACAATGTGGTCTGCTTAAGAGAATTGGATACGGAGTTAAAATATGTACTCACTTTCAGTGGTATTCATGTTTGACAACGTTTGTTTCCTAGTGGTACTACTGGTAACCTGGAAGTTTGGTTCACTTAACATTCACCCGTTAGAAAACAGACGTCTAAGAGGTGACCTACTAATAACTCACAGAGTCTATAACACTTCAATACATCCTCTTGAATACCTACTGAAAATCATTCACAACACAAACCTCATCGGTACCACCCACAATCAGATTATACAACATAGCAGTACGGACTGTACGCACACGTTCAGCTCTTTAAGAGTAACCGAATACTGGAACGCGCTGCCAGTCGAGCCCGTACAAGTGACTTCTCAAGAGTATGTTACAAAGAAATGTAACATATTCGTAAGGACTACAAACAATGTTCCAGCATAATTTGCTATTATTTTTTGCCTTAATTGTTAAACACACCTAGGTTTCTATATGTAGGAACCAGTAATACACTGCTAACGGGTGCGGGATATGGTTAAGCGAAAGCTTCTTTTATTCCTTCCATAGCCATTTGGTTCCTTTGATCGATGGTTTTGTTTAAGTGGACCAATTGTTACCTTGAGATGATGTGTTTTTCAATCAGGCGAAATTTATTTAACTAGATACTGTGTAAATCATTCGTAACTTCTCGACATCAATATTTTAGTTTCGATTGCCACATTTTCTTGACCTCACGCTTTAATTACTTTTTATTGTAGTGTAATGCTTTTATCATTCGGTGTAAGTGTATACTGTGTGCCCACTGGTTCATCGGCTCGCCTTCTCTTGTTCTTTTCTTTTCCAGATTGGCCTACATACTGCTTCGCATACACCCTTAGCACGCAAGCTAAATTCAAGCCACTTACTAAAAACTGATCGTCAAAACCGACAGCGCCGGGTAAGTATTCTCTCTGAGCATATATGTAGATCTACATATATTCTTACTGTTTTGTTCGAAAAAAAACAGTAGTACATAAATTTTAATGCATATTTTCCAGAAGGTTGAAATTGCGATATGCAACCTCAGTATTTTCGTTCGCCCGGAAGAAGTGTCAAAAACCCTTTCAAAATTGTCTAAAATGATGAATTCGTCTTCTTACGCATGTTAGTTTATTAATTTCTACAAGACTGCAATTAATGCTTATCTCGTTGATAAATAATTGTAACTACACTTTTATAGAATAATTTATCATTTCTTAACATTAAATCAAGTTATACAGTCGTCTTGAAGACAAACACCTTGGTTATTTTGATTACTTTATGCTCCTTTTAATTACTCAATTCATCATTCGAAACTATTTTCATATTCACTTGTGGGATAGTTATTTCATCATGCAATTCTATCACCTAATCAGTGTTATATTGGTATCCTGAAGTATAAATATATGTGTGTCAATATACTATCGCAGATTTATTATGACAATGTAATTGAATGGTAATATTTATTCAAATAATTTGCTTTTTATTAAAGAAAAAGTCATCATGGCTTAATTTATATACAAATATAATTTAATACCACTTCAAAATATAGTGATCTATTAGCCTCCCCTCTGGAAAGGTTACTGAAAATTAAGTAAACTTGGTTAATTGGTTTCATGGTTGTTATTCTTGACAGTGGAACATTAAGGTAAATAAATCATTCTAATTTCAAATACACTTTCTTATTTATTCCTTATTGAGTGACGCAGGATCTAAGGAAGTTGTTCATATTAAAAACGACCTCATTGTTACGTTTAAATTAGGCAAATTTGAACTCCAATTTAAATTAGACACCTTGTTGCAATAACATCGGCAGTAAAATCTCCAACATTCTTGACCAAAAAATAGGATTTTCATGACAAATCTAGTGGGACAGAACATCGTAAATTGTGTTGAGTAAAATGTTTTTTCCTTAACGCTTTCTCTGTCTTTTTTAGTTGAACCATATTCAACTAATCAAATGTAAACCTGACGTACCAATACTCATTCAGTACAGCTCACACATACGATTTTACCTGTTATTCTTCTTTTGTTTTTCCTCACTCCTTTTCTCAAACATATGCTTCACTTTCAAATTATCTGAACACTTCTAGTTACGAAATACTAGTAATTTCCAATAATTATAAATTCATTGTCCGTTTTCTCAATTCATTCACCTACTTCCTATCATTAAATATTGATTCGAGATTTCATTATTCTTATCACAACCGGTACATCTGTCGTCACACTATCAATTTATACTTCATAATTATCATGTTCATTTGTTTAATTCACTTTTTTGTTATCACTAACTCTTAAACGACCTTGATTGGTTTTATATGTCCACATATGGATATAAATATTAAGGTATAATAAGGTGAAACATGATGAAGGTCCAGTTGAAAACAATATTGTTTGCTTATACATGTTGTTTAATTCACAATATGAAAACTTTTGACTTTCGCGTTTGAAAAACCATACTATGGACAACAATCAGTAGACAAATATGGTTTATGGTTTTAAACTTTTATCATTGTGACTTGTACTTACTTACTTACTTACGTACTCTTGTTACTCCTCGTGGGAGAGCATAGTCTGCTCACCAGCATTTGCCATCGAAATCTGTCCCGAGAAATCCTTCCAGTTGTTTCCAGTTGCTACTTATCCTTTTATATCGGCTTCCAATTCTCAACGCAGTGTGTTCGATTGCCTTATTTTCCGTTCCCCATCAGAGTTCCAAGTTAGCGCTTGCTTTGTGGTGCAGTTTGATGATTTCCTTAATGTGTGTTTTATCTACCTTCAAAGTCTTTTTCTAATTTCATCTTCATCTGGAAGTTGATTTGTTCTCTCCTACAGTAGATTGTTGCTGACGGTATCTGGTCAACGGGCATTTAATATCTCGTGTAAACTACTGTTTGTACATACTTGTGCCTTTTTGATTATGATTGTAGTAGTTCTCCACGTTTCAGCTCCGTACAGTGGAACTGTCTTGACGTTCATGTTGAAGATTCCGATTTTGATATTGGTTGACAGCTGTTTGAAGTTCCTTATGTTCTTCAACTGTAAGAATAAGGTTCTTGCTTTGCCAATCCTTGCATTTACGTTGGCATCGGATCCTCCTCGTCCAAGATGATATTGCTACTCGGGTACGTGAAAGATTACACGTTCACCAGAGTTCCTCCATCAAGTGTGATTGTGTTGTTCTCCGTGTTGCGTTTGACGATCTTGGTTTCCCTTGTGTATGTTGAGGTCTACTGATGCAGAGAATGCTGCTACACTGGTTGTTTCGACCTGCATTTGTTGATGTGTATGGAACAGAAGGGCAAGTCATGTGCGGTGTCCAGATCGTCTAGTCGCATCCAATCTGTCTATTGTATTCTGTGCTTTCCGTCAGATATTAAAGTCTTTATGATCCATTCAACCACTCAAATAAAGTGAAAATTTGGGAGCAAGCAACCTTGTGTGACACCTGTCCTCACTTGGAATGTGTCTGTCAACTGCCCTCAATGTATAACTTTGCGGTGTAGTCCGTCCTATGAATTTCGGATGATGCTGACGATTTTCTGACGTAAACCATAGTATCGAAAAAGGTTATATGGGGTTCTCCTATTCACACTATCAAATGCCTAGTCAAGGAAGTTGATTGTTATGCGTAACGAACTAAAAACTGTTTTTAATGAATAAATCACTAGAAATTTGGGCGAGACTATAATATACTAGCGATCCAATCAGATACAAGATGACAGCTCTCAGACTTTGGCGCAAAATTCACTCATCCGTTTGGTTAAATAGAGTTTTGGCATTATAGCTGATGTCAGGTCGTGATGAAAACCCTAAACCTAATTCCTAAACTTAACCATCAACTTGAAATAATAATTCTAATTTCTCACGCTGGTTTATAACCCTCATTTGGTCGTAGTTATTAGTAGGTGAACACTCTCAAGGTCACTTGAGCGTCATTCACAGGTCATCCATAAGTTATAGTCTCTCTGAAATTTGAACTTTCTTTTAACAGACCTATCACCAGCCTAGGAGTAACTTTTATTTAGCCTGAAGTTCTATCAAGCATTTTCAAATATCTGACTTGTTTAATTATGAGCAACTACTCAATAATTAATAAGACATATAATCTAGGGAGATGACCATTTTATAAGACCGAATGCACAGAAATCTTATTTATTTAAAATGCAACTAGGAAAAACTTGATTTATTCTCATCATTTAAATAGACTTATGAATAGTATCATTGTTAGACAATCTTATGTATTTCTCTTTTAGTTCAAAATACCTTGATAATAATAGTAGGAAATTTTGATTAATAAACCTTGAAGCTGAAATGAGTCAATCATCATTTGATACACTGCATGCTTTTGTGAATAAAAAGTTTTGATCTTTTAAAGTTGTAAGGGTGAAGACATTTAAACAAACCCAATAATTCATATGGCTTGGTCATTTTAATTCATCCACATAGCATATTCACTTTCTAATTATATCGTTAACAGTGTTATGAACTTTTTTATCAGATTACTTTACCATTAAATATATAGGTGATATGATAGAATGACTTTATTCTAATAATAGTTAACATTTTCTAAATATAGATAAAAATTTATCTATAGTTCAGTATTTTTTTGTTAACCCCCATGTTTTAACCTAATTCACAATACTTTACAATCAGTAATTTAACAGTAATTATTTTCAAGTGAAATCATTTTGTATATAACTTTATGAACTTTTTAATTAGTTCCTACCACAAACTGCCACCGTTAGAAAAGTGCAGAGTATAGTTTGAAAAATATCTTGTTTTCATTAACAATTTCTGAGCGCTTCATACTCATAATCACATAGGATGTTAAGTTAACAATGCTTGAGTTTTGAAATCTTCACGCTACTTGACTTTCTGGTTTTTAGTGATTTTCCTGATAAGGCACGTTAGTGGTGAAAATTACTTTCGGAATCTTATGTCACTTTTTTTTAAAAGTAAAATTATATTTCGGGCGCATATACACTCATACATTAGCTTCTGAACAAAAAATATACTTGAGACTTATACTTCCGTTTTAGGGGATTGGGTTACTTTGTATAGTTTCTAAATACAAATGACTGTATTAATGTTTTTACCGAAGGCTAGAATAACAAGATCTGTAGAGTAGAACGAACCTATTCCTCTCTTCTTTGACTTCTCATAACAAGGTTACAAGTGCAATGTAGTTGTTTGAGACTTGAAAGAACATAATCAGAAAAGGAAGAAGATACAGGGTATAACAATAAACATAATATCTAAGCTTAATTTATATCGATTTGTTGAAGAATAATCACCAAAAGTTCATTTTTGACGAACAACTAGTTAGTTTAAATAATCATTAACATTAATATATTATAAACCAACACAACTATAATTTTCAACTGCATACAATATTGTTCACAACCATATTAATGTGCTACAAATGAGCTTCGGATATTAAGTTTGTTTACCGATAAATATACTTCTATATAACATGGCAGATTTTATCATTGAGTTATATGTTCTACTTGATCGAGGATCAGAAGAATACAACTGTGACATCAGCTAAAAAACCTAGAAGACAAATAATATAACTGGTAAACATAATGCTATCCAGTTGGTCTATTGTGAAAGACCTGTATTAAGCATTGAAGTTAATGTCGATGTACAAGTATGATTTCTTTCGAAATAGATGCCGGTAATAAATAGCTTTTTATTGCCTGAGTCAAAATATTCTGTCGGGCTAAACAGTTAAGCAGTGGTCAAGTATAATCTCCTTGATAAATTTTACCCTATACCTATTGGGGAGAACTGGCTAGAAATGGTTTGTAAATCGAAATGTATGTTTCCACTACTTATGATTCTCGAGATCTTGGAAATAGTGAAATTTAATGTTGATTCATTTCCTGTTCACATTGGATTTCCGTGTTATTGTAATATGTGAATAATTGAACAGCTGTTGTTTATATGAGTTTCTGCAATGTTCTGTCTGTCAGTATTCTAACTTCTCTTTCTTTTACAGTCAATAAACTATTTAAATAGCTCGTTTTTTTACTTATTACATGTAGTCATTTTAATGTTTTCGTAGGTCTCTTTTGTTCAAACTAGTGGAAATTCCTGCTTATCAGATGATTGAGACATCAAATATCACACACAAAACAGTTACAGAATTTGGTTGCGTCCAGAATGACAGTAAAATTGACCGGTACATAAACGATCATTCTTTACGTTTATCAGACGCTCAAAAATGGCTTTTAAAGGTAATCATCATCATGACTATCACTATTTTTTTTAGAAAACAAAAGATGAACCTAAAGCATATTACTTGATATCAAGTCTTGAAATGCAACTTTTATCTAATATGTGCTATGCAATAAATGCCAGAAAGACAATTGATATTGGTAAGTACTTATTTATATCTAATTATATGTATGTATCTTGATTATGTGTATTCATTTAGATAGCTCGATTTTATCTAATGGTAGCTTTTACATTATTTTGAGGAAAGTATATCCTATCTATTCTCGAAAAACATTTCCTAGAAAACCTCTTTATTGTATTGTTACTGTTATTCGATAAGTGACTCATTGTCTTTAAGTGTACTATGTATGCGTATTCTTTGTATACAGATAATATTAAAAAACTCAGTGATTTAAAGGTAGAAAGCTTGTCGGGAACAACTAAGGCCATGTATGATAGAACACCTAGTTTCGTTATCGGCTTTTGCGATTAATCTGGATGTTCGTGGCCAATTATGAAAAGCAAATATTGAATTCGCTATGTAAACGAACTAGCTGTTATCGTTAAAAATATTTATAATTTGATTAGCAGCATCTTTGATGACACCAAATTCAACTTAATAGTAAAACCAGAAAAAAGCCATTTTTGCATAAACCAGTCACTAGGACTAATATGGGCAAACTTAAAACTCAATTGTATTAAAAGTCTGTCTGTTATAACTTATAGCCTGTGTGCCCTGGTAATGTATAACGTGATGATACCGCCAATTAGAGAGCAGTGAATTATCGATCAGACAGGTGACGTACAAAACACGTACGAGATGTCTAGAGTACTTATCGGTCCTGCTTCCTGCCTAGCCCAGCCAGTTAAGTCCAGAACACCAATTTCAGCCTCTGCAATATGAATTATGTATTCCAAACATACTTGGTTTATATACCAACCAGACAAACAACATCGTACCATAAAATAGGAAACAACATTTGTACAAGATTTAATCAAAAGTGGCTGTGAATGAGGGAGGTAGTAATTAATAGACAGGGCATAATACAGGAATGGCAAATCGTAGAATAATAGTTCATAGGTCAAAACAAATCTCATAATAAGAGGGAAATGAATATGAACAGTTTAGTTATCTAACAATCATACGATAAAAATATACGCATAGTATTGGACCGTTAATGGATCCCAAAAGTTACCATTCATTATTCTTATCCGGATAAAAACTGTCCAGATTTATGAACTACTCAATTACAGTCACAACAATGACCTAGTGATTCACTAAATTGGCTGTACACAAACCTTATTCAGAAGGATGAAGGGATATTATAGCACAGAGATTACATGAAGAAAGGAAACAAAACACTTACTGGATGTATTCTAGAAAAAATGGTTACTCACAAAAATTTGCCAAAAATATCTGTCAAACAGACTATGGAACACCAAGTCAGCAGCAAAAGTAGGCAAACGGATAACTTTACTCAATATAAAAAATATCTTCAAAATTACAAACGGATTAATAAGGCCACTAGGGATAAGTGTAACCCGCAAAATTAAGAATGTTTTGGGATCACTACTGTACATATTAAAAGCACCACGACAGATGAAAAAATGAAAAAACGAAGTCCCACCATCCTCAATGAACACTATAAAGTATCTGCTCTCTTCGTCTTTGCTTTCATGAGCACCAGTTATCCGTTAATAGTGCAAAATCTATCAGTCAATAGGAAAAAGAATTAGGAACTGTGATGCAAGAAATCAGATGAGGAAGGAAAACAATTAGGATAAACAAACAAATAATGATAACTCCCTTTTCTTTGAAATATCTCTTGACAATGTTTCCAGGAAAGAAAATTGAAGCTTACTAATTAAATTCTCCATTTCAGAGAACACAACACCTCCAATATTTACAATTATCTTCAAAATTAGTGTATATTTGAGATTTAGGTAACATCAGTTGAGTTGGCTATCTTTTAAAAAAGATTAACAGATGTAGTTAAACATAAAATGAGTATCGGTATTTATTATCTTTAAGTCTTATTCCATCTGAAATACTGTTGCAAAAATTTTGTGTACATGTAGAATGCTTTAGGTTATATTTTCAAAATATTCACTTTTGTCTTCAAATGAAAAGTGTTATATAATACGGTAAGAAGATGAAATTTGTTCTGAATTTGTGATTCTCATTACATTCCCTACACCAATTCATGGGACTAACTGCTATCAATAATCAAATTAATTCACTTGGTATTGATTGGCTTGTATCTTCCCATTGAAGTTTAAGACTGCAGTTGATCAGTCTGTTATTGGCATATGTGGATACTGTGCATATGCCTAGATATTGCCTTAATTCACAAGCTTTTTGTAAGCAATGGTGAATAGTGGCTGGCAGTGGAATCCAGGACGCTCGTTTCGTCCTATTTGGGACTCGTCGGCTGGATGTACCTGTATCTTAGAGTTGATGTTCACTCTGGGACTCGAACCCAGTACCATTCGCTTCAAACGCCATCGCGTTATACACTGATCTACTGAGTCCTGATAGCCAATTAATTATCAAACCATATAACATTCAGATCTTAACGATCAAATGAGAATTAGCAAAGAAAAAGTTTGTCGAAAATATAGTTTCGATAGAACAATGAGAAGACGGAGTTGATCTGAAAACTGTGATGTATTTACGCTATACATTTCGAACAATCTGGTCACTCATATACTTGTCAGGTCATTTTTATATGAAAATTAATAAAGGTCAGTTAAATAAAAGTTCACGTAAAATAACAAACGGGAGAGAAAGAATAAGAAATTGTCGCGTTATCCTGAGCCATAGAGTGACTTAAGGATTACCAAGGTAAATCCAAGGTTACGACAAATTGTTTTTGCACATATAAAGGGGCTTTAAATTTATGAATAGCCAAGCCTTCAATAAACCTGGGAATTCGTACTTGACAATATCTATACAACGTTTTAAAAGCTGTATTAATGTTAATTTTGTGCCCGTTTCGATTATATGTTTTGCTATCGATGAACATGGTTTTCTACCTCCTACGTTTATCGGATCATTTGACACACATTGATTTTGAAGCTATCTAGGCACATGTTCATGACCCTTGATTGTATTGTTCGATTACTCCAACCTATGTATGTGTGTCCACACAAGCATGTTCAATTGTAAATACAATGGGATGTGACGCAATCAGTTGTGCATTGTCTAGGTCTATTTGGAATCATGGGCATAGACCTTTCAATCACAACCAATTGAGCAGCATAATAGGTTTTCTTGATGGCCGCTTTCAACATCTGTCTTAAAACTATGCTGTTGGATTCGCCTCGATATGTTAGATGATATAAACTTTCTTCTTTGGAACTAAATAAACAAGAGGTCTTGGTATTAACTGACTTTAGCACCTATTAATGAACTTTAGTGGATAATCGTTTGCTATTAATGTGTCATTCAGTAACTTCATGCCAATATACTCACTTCTGCAGTTTCACACCCATCCGTTACAAGAGAAATTTGGTCAGATGTCTCACGAGCAGAGCAAAAAAGATCTGTACAGTAGACACTCTAAGTCAGGAGCTTGAATTTCTCAACAACTCACTGACCGAGATCGGCTACCCCAGCGCGTTCATTAAGAAGTACATCCAGGATATAATAAAGAAGTCGGAGATTTCGACTGTTCGTAAGAAACCTTTATACATGAAAGTGCAATTCAACGGGGATGTGGCTAGTGACACTCTGAAATATAGGTTAACCAAAGTAATCACCAGGACATTCTACGCAGCCAATCTTGCGTTGAACTTCTCTTGTCGACCAGCGATGTCTACTCAAACGAAGGATAAGTTACCTGAGTTGGCCTCTTCCATGTGCATTTACAAATTCAGCTGCTCCTGTGGAGATAGCTATATAGGGCGTGCTACCAGGCAACTTAACCAACGAATGAGTGAACATCTAACAACTTGGTACACAAAGGGTCAGAGAAAAACTATTCGCAGTTCTATACTAGCACATCTTATTGATAGCGGTCATGCAGTAGATAAATTGAAATCATTTCGAGTTATCTATCGTATACCTCCATCATTTCCCGACGGAGTCCGTTCCCGTCTCCTGCATATAGCTGAAGCCATTGGAATTCGTACATATAACCCCAATTTATGTGTACAGAAGAAATACGTGAACCCCCTATCCCTTCCATGGCCAGTTATAACTTAACTAACAATTTTTATTTTATATTTTAAATTTTATTATTATCATTATTTATTTTATTCTATCTGTGTTATTGTTAACCTTATTTCCACATCCATTATTTGTTTGTCATTATCCGCCTCTTTGTATTCTTCACTATCTAATTATTTACACACATCTTATTACGTAATGATTTTTAATGTTTTGTGATTACTATTCCTAGTCTATTTACCCATGTTTATTTGACCTTCTATTTCCAACGATTAACTATTGATAAGAGCTTTGTTATTGTAGTTTATTATTCTCACTATTATCAGTTCACCTGTCTTCGTACTATCAACTTGTACTTTTACCTATTATGTGTAGTGACTTATTCTATTTCATTGTGATTATTGACTCATATTGCCTTGATTGGTTTAAAATTTTCGTATAAATATTCATGTATATTAGAGTAAAGCCTGATGACGATCTAATTGAAAACAATTGTTCGCTTATATGTGTTGTTCTAATTTTCACAATGGGAATCTTCAGCATTATCTTAAATACATGTAGATGCAAATCATTCGAAGGAAACATCCGGATACACCTTTAAATAACAGTAAAATAAAAGCTGAAATACGCAACATGTACACGGTTGGACTTTAATAGGGTAAGAAAAGTGTACCTTAGCCGACAGTCAATTCAACTCTTGAATTGTACTTTTGGTGAGCTAATTTCTTTCTTTCCTGTACATTGTTGACTGCTCACTTATATCCACAGAATTGCCAAATTCATTTGCTCAAAAAATACCCCCTGTCGTGTTTCATGTACAGATGGACAACGATCTACCTTGAAACTCTATTCTCGAACTTAGACACCAACCACTAAGAACAAAACAGACAACTGGCTGTACAGGCTATGGACTTGCTAACAGTCGCGAGCCACAACTATCAGCACAAAGCAATATTTATATTGATCAAGTCATAACGAACAAACGTCCATGTGTTAATGACAATCATAAACAATATTGTTATTTTTAGTTGGTATGCTTCTACAGTTTTATACTTTAACTACGATGAAAGTGTGCAGTGAGAAACAGAACATGACGAAAATGAACCAGTCAAAAACGGACCAATAGTTTTCTAAAAGAAATTACTTTGGTAAGAACAAACAAATACTAATGGTTCCACAACTTAAATTCGTTTGCACCTATAAAGAACACCGAACCTTGCATACTGCGGTCTGGTGTATCTAAGTTTTTAATAAAAACAACCGAAAAATTTGTTAAAAAGCGGAAGACACCGATTTGTATCTCAGTCCCAATGTAAATACAGAGTATCTCAAATAAAGATTGGTGATCAAGACGACAAACTTTGAGGCTAATGTACTATATCCTAAGAGCCATTTGTTAGAATCAATACAGTTTGAAGATGCCACAGGTATTTGTAGTTTGACAACGCTTAAACCAGTAACACCTACTATGAATCGTACCCACCAAGTGAAATCAAAAGTCAGGGTTCAGGAGGTTCGAAGATATATTTGATAGGCTATCGATATATCGAGAATCGATTGATCTACGCTGGCTAGTGATCGCAGGGTATACTGAGCACGGCGTTCCCACTTGTGATGTGGTGCGGATGCATGACCGAGCGCCTTCAGTTAGGTCAGCACCTTGTAGTGTGGCGTCGAGTCGCGGTTGACTATGATCACCACTACGGGAAGACTACGCGCCAGTTAACCGATAAAATCCCCGTAAGCCAAATATCAGAAGGCAGTTGATGGCTGTAGTCGAGATATATTTGCAGGCGATCTCGTGGTATCGAAAGAATACCGAGATTGTGCCAGGTTACAAGTGTGGTTACTGAGCGTAACCGAATACGTGCAGGGTCAAAATCAACAGAAGAAAGTATGTCTTCAGTACGGTTAAACAAACAAACACAGTAAAACAATCACTGGTACAATTGCTTATAATAATAATTGTTTCCATCAAACCAATCGCGTTCTCTTGATAAAAGTAGGTAACTACAGTCTAATGTCGAAGACTTAAAGAGGATTTAATTGCCGATACAAATTGTAGAGGCTGCTACTATTTGTCATTTACTTAAGGCTTGGTTTGTATAACATCAATTACTTATTTATTTGAAACAATTCATATATTTAACAAAATTGTCAATATTATCAGAAGAAACATGCCAAAAAATAATATTTTGATCAAAAGCTTCATTGTATTGCAGAAAGAAACTGTTGAATTATTGACACTTACGAGTTTGACTTTCAAAAGTTTTTATGACATTACAGATATTTCTTATGATTAGGAATATTTATGTGAAGTATTCAATTCAAGCAGAAACAAATTGAACGGTTTATGACTAATTGTTGATAAACTAGATTGCAAAACTATGATATTAAGGACTAGCAAGGGTTGGAAAAACAATTTCCAGTTGTTTGAAGGATATTTAAAAATGAACGTTTTATTTTCCACTATACAAATACTATTGTATTATATTGAGAACATTGAGAATCATAAGAAAAATTATGTTCATCATCATTGAATGAAAATGCAAGTGTCAAATACTTAAATCTTCCTAATGTAGGTTGTACATAGTGTGTAATTAAAGGAATGTTTGCTTGAATTATTTTGTTTTCATGATCCTGTTGAATGAATCATCTAATCAGTGACTCTTTGATTATAGGCTAGCTGGTGAATTATTGAATTTAAAGGGCATTTTTATATGAAAATTAATAAAGGTCAATTAAATAAAAGTTCAAAGCAGAAAAAATGTAGCAAATGGGAGAGACAACTTTTTATGGTATAGAAAGAATAAGAAATGACTTAAGGATTACCAAGGTAAAGCCAAGGTTACGACAAATTGTTTTTGCACATATAAGGGGGCTGTTCATAAGAACAGCCTAGGCTTCAATAAACCTGGGAATTCGTACTTGACAATTTCTATACAACGTTTTAAAAGCTGTATTGATGTTAATTTTGTGCCCGTTTCAATTATGTTTTGCTATCGATGAACATGGTTTTCTACCTCCTACGTTTATCGGATCATTTGACACACATTGATTTTGAAGCTATCTAGGCACATGTTCATGACCCTTGATTGTATTGTTCGATTACTCCAACCTATATATGTGTGTCCACACAAGCATGTTAATTGTAAATACAATGGGATGTGACGCAATCAGTTGTGCATTGTCTAGGTCTATTTGGAATCATGGGCATAGACCTTTCAATCACAACCAATTGAGCAGCATAATAGGTTTTCTTGATGGCCGCTTTCAACATCTGTCTTAAAACTATGCTGTTGGATTCGCCTCGATATGTAGATGTATATAAACTTTCTTCTTTGGAACTAAATAAACAAGAGGTCTTGGTATTAACTGACTTTAGCACCTATTAATGACTTTAGTGGATAACCGTTTGCTATTAATGTGTCATTCAGTAACTTTTCATCTTTTTCCACCGTGTCAGCAGTGCAAATTCTTTGAGTCCTCTTATAGAGACACTTAATCGAGCTTTGCCTGTATTGCAATGGACAAAAACCTGGGGCGGAAAGCAGTGAACAGAACTTCATAACTTTTAAATCATTTTCTTTTGTCTTAATAAGTTACAAATCTTGATAACCTTAACTTCATAATCACATGTTTACTCCTATATTTTATAATAATATAATTCACTGTATTGTATATATTTTTCAAAAAAAATATAGGAGTTTATACTGGATATAGTACATTGTCTATCGCTGAAGTATTACCGTCAGATGGTTGTGTGTTAGCCTTGGAGATAACAGATGCTTATCTAAAAGATTATTGTATACCGGCTTGGAAAATGGCAAATGTTGAGTCAAAAATCGACTTTCGACTTGGTACAGCAACTCAAACACTACGTAAGCATAGTATTAATGTATATAAACTATGTTTTATATGATTTCTCTCTTATATTTTTGATCTAATGATAACTGTGATGAAATTAAATAAAACCAATGTAACTTGTCCATTAATTTTAAAACCATATAATAACACAAATAGTAACACATATGAATGGAGTATTTAGACTGACAGTAAGTAATTTGGATGTTGACTATTGTGATGTGCTTTACTTAACTGATTATATTAGCTATTTCGTCACTTAGTTCATGCAGTAGATGGGTTCTGTACTTTTAAATAAAATAATACTCTCAGCGAGAGGTTTTGTGAAAATAGTAGTAATTTAATAATTGAATTCATGAGTCAATTGAAGCTAGACCACCGTGGAAAACCTGGGAGCACTGGGCGGCCATTTCGTCCTGGTACGGAAATCTTCAGCAGTGCGCATCCTTTATCCTGCCCCACGAGATTCGAACACAGGACCTGTCAGTCTCGTGCGCGAACGCTTAACCTTTAGACCATTGAGCCGGCCGGTCAATGTCTAACTTCAATCAATTCACGAAATTGCGTCACCGTCCACCATTGTCTTAACCAAGTTACTATCTCACAACAAACCCGGTTGAACTCCGTTGATCGCTGCTTCTCAATAAAGTCCGGGAAATGATTATTACTATTTCTCACTAGAACTCCATGAAATAACTCTTGGAATCAGTCACTAGTGAGCATATGATAGGTCTTGGGTTTGAATCTCGTGAGGCGTGATGGTGAGTGCTAGCTGCTGAGGAGTCCCATACTAGGTTGAAACGGCCGTGCAGTGCTTCCAGGTTTTCCATGGTGTTCTAGCTTTAATTATTAAAAATAATATACGTTCCGTATAAATATTCTTATTGAGAAATTAAAATGAATCTTATTGGTCAATGGATAATATTCGCGAAAATTTCAACTTTACATTTATAATCTCATTAACCTGTATGCACCATAAATTGCTATTCGACTGAATACGTTGACAATATATTGGTGAAGATTTATGAAACCACTTTCCATTGATAACAATCCATTCAATTTTGCATCATTATTTTTAATAAATCATGAAATGTAGCCTTTGAGGTGTTAAATATTCCTTTTTAATAACGTTCTCGTAAGAATTATTCATTAGATATATTACTTAATAAATATTTTATTCAAATGTGAAAATAGTCTATCACCAAACGTGAGGTACAGAGGACTAACCAGCGTAGTTTTCGAACTCATTGAATAAATACAACTTTTATTTAATGTAAATAGGTGATGTTGTGGTGTATGCTACTTATATCGACATAATTAGTATACAACACGAGCCAGGAATGTAATTTCTGACAGCAGAAGATTGAGAAGGAAAGAACGGAACAGAAAACGATTGATATGGAAATGATGGGACAGTGAAGTATGAGACGAGTGATTGACATTTGCAAAGTAACAGTTAGGATTGAGACAATTGATTGATCTTTTGCAAATGAAGTATTTATTGTATGGCTCTGAGATTTTACTAAGGTGTTCTGTAATTATGTGTATAAGTACATCCGTTTGTTCCCACTCGTGTTCTTGTTTACTACAGTATCATGAGGAAATCATTACTGTAGTGATAAATTATCTGAAAGAATATATTCATCAACTGACCAAATACATATTAGTCATTGAAGGAACTACACTGTCCAGGTTACTTGATAAACTAGTCTGTAAATTATAAATAAATGATTATTTATGAATAAAACAAATACTCACTGTATTTATTATGTAATGTAATCAAAAATTAAAATTAAACACTATTAATGCATATTAGCTAATACAAGTAATGATGAACTTACAGTTATTAAACATTAGCATATTGAAACTCATAATGTTAGGCTCTATTTCTAAGTATCCTTTTAATTGATTGTTGTTTTAAAGTACATATTCGACACAATAATAACAATAAGAATAATCTACAGGAGTGCGAATCCACGATCCCGCCCCCCGCGGTATTCGAATCCAGGACCTATCGGTCTCGCGCCAGGCGCTTAACCAAGTAGACCACTGAGCTGGCATCCAACGGTGTTAATGTCTAACTTCAACCAATCCACGAAGTTGCACCACTGTACACCATTGTCTCCAGTGAGTTCCTATCTCACAACAGACCTGGTTGAACTCCACTGGTAACAACTCCTCACTAGAACTCCAGGAGTATCTCCTGAAGTCAGTCGCTAGTGAGCAGGTGATTATTATTATTATCAGAATGGGTTTTGTGGAGATTTTTAAAAATTTCACTGGAGGATGCGCCCTCCTGAGGAGTCCCATACTAGGACGAAACGGCCGTTCAGTGCTTCCAGGTTTTCCATGGTGGTCTTGCTTCAATTGACTCATGATTTCAACCAGTGAAATTTCTAAAAATCTCCACAAAACCCATTCTGATAATAAGAATAATCGTTTTTTTTTCAAAATTATATGTTTAGCATAATACGCTATTCTCAGGTATTATATCTTGTGGCCTTATACCCTGTTAATATATAACGGCCAATTAGAGAACAGAAACTTATCGACCGGACCAATGACACATATGCCCATATGAGCAGTTTAGAGTCTTTGTCGTTCCTTCTTCCTGCCTAGCTCTGCCTGTTGAATCCAGAACACCAATCTCAGCCTTTGCGATATGAATCATGTATTTCAAGGTTTATGTACAAACCAAACAGACCACATCGTACCATAAGATAGGAAATAACATTTGTACAAGATCTAGCCAAAAGTGACTGTGAATGTGGGAGACTGTAATTAATTGACTGGGTATAACTCAAGAACAGTAAATCGTATAATAATGATAATCTATGAGTCAAAATAAGGCTTATAATAAGAGGGAGATAAATATGCATAATTTAGCTACTTAACAATTATACGGTACAGATATATGTATCGTATTTGTCCATAAATAGTTCTCAAAAGTTACCATTCATAATTCTCGTCGGGATAATAAAAACAGGATACAGTATTTCACTACATTCCCCTTACTTTCCTTGACGTAATGAAAATATATGTACACATAAATACATGAAATAAGTAAATTAAACCATATATAATAAAATGATTTCCTCAGAAGATAAACTAAAAATCTTTGCAACAGAGAATAATCTTCCGGTTCAACAGTGTGAGCTTTCGATAATGCAATGAGAAGACGAAGTTCATCAGAATTATGTGATGATAGATTTGCGCAATACATTTCGATCATTCTGATCACACATATACTTGTTAAGAACATTTATATATGAAAATTAAAAGGTCAACTAGACAGGTTAATGGTAAGTCATAACAAAGGAAAAATAATAAAGTACACAAAAACAAATGTGATTACCAGGGTAGGTTAAGTGTATGGACAAATGTTTTTGAACACATAAAGGGGGTTTCAATTTCCGTATAGCCAAGACTTCAATAAATCTTAGTATACGTCCTTGAAGGCTTTTGTATAACACTACAAATGCTGATTTGATGTCAACTTTATGACCAGTCTCAATCAAATGTTTCGCAATGGCCATATCTTCTAACCCGTTCATTGAGTATTTAGTGTGCTACATACGGTTTTGTATAGCATTTATACCTTTGTTTGTATTCTTTTGGAAGATATGGCGATAGAAAGATATGAAAATACTGGATGGTTTGTAATTGATATAATAACACTTATCAATTGAGTACAAGTTTTCAAATATCTGTCTACCACTATATTTATAATAATATTGAAAGATTTACCACTTACTCAACAAGTTGTATCTAAATAATGATACTTTTTCAACACTAAAAGGTTACACAAATTATAACATGATCATTGTAGTGCCTTATCATCTAGTACATTTATTACGTATAAACTTTGAAAGTAAGTTAGTTTGATAATTTAGAATGTACTTTTATCATCAGTAAATCATATACACTCAAAAATGTCCTGAATAATATAAGAGTAATAGTTACTTATGTTCTTTTTTTATGGTATGTTGTAAGTGTAAAAATGTGTAAGTCAGTAACAAATAGAATCACCTATGTCCAACGCTTATAAGTTGATCAACAACAAAAATGATCTCATATCATTAGATTTCTTGATCAATAAACTCCTATCTATAAGTTAAAAGTGAAAATATAGCTTAGTGATTAAAATTTAGTACTGAGCTAGTATTTATGGATAGATGTAGTTTAAAATTACAGACGTTTCCGATGTGTTTTTCACCTATTAACTTTGTAATTTGGTTATAATTTAATTTCATTATATTTTCTAGAAAATTTGATTGATAATGGAGAAAGTGAAACATTCGATTTCGCTCTTATTGATGCTGATAAACAAAATTACAGTAATTATTATGAATTATGCCTTAAACTGATCCGACCTCGTGGTATAATCGCAATTGATAATGTATGTGTCTGTAGATTTTCCTTCATTATATGAATAACCTTTAATTTTATCTGGTTTAAATATAGGTTAATTGTTTTTTTATATGAAGACATTAGTAACAGATATGAAAAGTACTTAATGAATGACAGCTATGTTATTCTATTTAACTTTTCAGTATTGTTTAACTGTACATACTTTTCATTTTGTATTGTTTGTTCAAATCTTCCCATTGATGTTTAAGATTGTAGTCGATCAGTCTCTTATTGCTATATGTGTATCCTGTACGGAATGCCTCGATATTGCCTTAAATCATAAGCATTATAAGCAAAGATGGATGGTGGCTAGTAGTGAAATCCAGGACGCGCATACCATCCAATTCGGAACTGATCAATTGCAGGCCTGAACGTTAATAGGAAGATTCAAACAAACAATACGAAATGAATTTATACTTCACCTCATTAGCTAAGTGGATAATACAATGGCATTTGAGGCGAGCGGCACTGGGTTCGAGTCCCAGAATGAACATCAACCCTAGGATACAGGTACCTTCAGCTGACGACTCCAAAATGGGACGAAACACTCGTTCAGGATTACACTGTTAGCCACCACTCATCTTTGCTTATATTGTACATACTTTTA